ATCTTCTTCCTTCACATTTCTCTCTCCTACTAAATCAAAACCTATTTTTCCGTAATAAATCTCAGCTTAATCTTTTCAATTTTTTCCTGCTAAAATTACCAGTAATTTTCTAAAATGATTTTTGTGATGATTGATTAGATTGAGTCCATCTTGGCAAAGCTAGTCGGCCTTTGGCGATGACTAATTTTGAATGCTAATGGACTCATATTAATTCTCTTATTTTACATCTCCTCCCTGTTCTGTTCTTCTAATTATCAAATGAGGTTTCCGATCATTGGAGATGATACATTTTTTTTTTTTTTTCTTCAAATTATGTGTTGGGAAATGATGATAAACCATCGTATTTAATCTGAAGCATTAGCTTTGCTGATTCGTATTATTTGCACGTCAGTCTGATCCCTTTTTTTTAATTTTATTTTATTTTTGGAAAAAATGAAAAAGTCCATTCTCAGCAAAGCAGGAATAATCCGTGGTTTATACACACGGGTGTACAGTGCTCATCATACACCCGGATAAATAAAAAAAAGGCGGAAAGAACATCCTGTGTTTCATAAAGAACATACATGTATTTGACAAAGAACATGTTTGTATTTGACAAAAACATACATTACCAAAGAACATAAAGATATAATAAAAATAACGAGATAAAGACTTGATAAAATTTTCTGAAAAATTACACATTATTAACGGGAAAAATTTAGAGGTGATAAAAAATCGAGTAGGGCCGGACCATTTCATAATTTCTTGTGCCCAAACTCGTAGAAAAGTAGCGGGTTTTCGGGCTTTTTCGAACCCGGTTCGAGTTTTAACTAAAAATGTATTTTTAGGTTTGCCCAAACCCACCCTATTTCGGGCCGGATCGGGTCGGGATGCGAGTCATGCCAATGTTGATCACCTCTTAAAAAATCCTTACCAAAGATATCATTTCCCCAAAAAATAGTTTTCTATCTCTCCAAAAAAAAATTCAACTTCCCATAATAATTTAGTTTTTTTTTTTTACTCTAATATTATTTTCAATTAAAAATAATTTAAGATTTCAATATCAAATTTCAAAATACCATATGTTAAAAGAACATAATTTATATTGTAAAGTACATATAGTTAATACCTAAATAACACACTAATCAAACTCAAAGAATATACGATAATAAAAGTAATTTAAATATGACATATGATAATAAAAAATAGAATTTGGGAGTCACTACGACCTTAAAGAACATACACGCCAAATTCAAAGAACATACTTTGTATTATTAAACCCAAAATATTAAAGGTATGTTCTTTGTCAAACATAAGTTATAATATAAAGAACATATAATTTTACTCAAAGACACACTGATCACACTCAAAAGAAAATATTAAAGGTATGTTCTTTGTCAAACATAGGTATGTTCTTTATCAAAAACTATATGTTCTTTCCGCCTTTTTTTGTTTACCCGGGTGCACCATGAGCATGATGCACCCGGGTGTATTATCTAATTTTCTAATATAGATGAATAGCTTTGGATTAAAATGGACTAATATTACCATGTTCCTCTATAACTGTCCTCTCTTTCTTTTTTTCTGTGAATTTGTTGGTCAGTAGAGTTGATACATTCTTTTCTTTTCTTGTTGAGTTATTAATGCTAATTTATAAAGTGGGGTATTTGAATTTAATTATTTATTTTTAGTCAGGTTGATTAACTACTATGCGTTTCAAAAGTAATTGTATAACTTCGAGATGTAATGGACAATTGACAGACATGGACGCATTTGCCTTGATATAATCATATAATGACATTCAAAGATACAATATCTACAACAATATTAAACGTCTATACCAATATTAATTCTCGTAGACTTGATCGAACGATCTGCCAATGATAAGAAACTAATGAGATAAGGGAATAAATTATCATTGATTGACTAGCACTCTTCTATCCAAGTCATTACAATTGTGGTGTGGTCTTATTAAACCAACAATAAAGATCGAAATGAATATGAAGAACAAGTCGAGGTCTCAAAGATAACAAGATAAGATGGTAAGAGACAAGAGAGCAACTAAGAGAGAACTACAAATAGAGAATTAGAGATGAAATGGAATATGTGATGAAATTTGAGTTAGTCAATGCTTAACTCTCAACAAATGGCGACCTTTATTTTTAATGGAAGATATAACGAAATTACCAAGCAAGTTAGCATTATATTCTATCTAAATGCATAATTGCGTATGTAAAGACTTTTACCCAATACTTGGCCAGAAGGGAGGCTAGACCCTCCACCCCCCTAATCAGTAACCACACCTCATTCTACGTTTGGTCTCCACCCTCCATACGAACTTACCATCTCCTTGTCCTCTTAACAATTTCTATAAACATATTTGATTAATGGTTGGAATAGATCTTTTGTAGCAAGACATCAAAAACCTGCAACTAACACATGTATAGCAATGATTCAATGATTGTCTAGAAGTGTGAGAATTGAATAATAATAACACTGATGGATAACCTATAAAATCATTTTGGCATTAGCACAATCTTCAAAATCTTAATGTTATATCGCGAACCTTTTAAATACTCTGTTATATTTTAGAGCATTTCATCAACTTTGATTTATTTGATATGGTATCGAGAACATTTAAAAATCTAAGGGTTGATGAGCAAGGGTAGATCAAGGTTTTGCGTGCGCACAAGGGGTGCCCGAGCGCGTAAAAGTAGGCAGGAACTCGAGAGAGGAGCTAGAGCAGCCTGCGCACGTAGAGGAAAAGGCCCTGCACGCGCACAACCGAGTTCTGGAGTTCGAGCTCTATTTTTCGTGCAGTTTTGTAGGTTTTGGTGACGTGTCTTATATGTCCCTTGGATTATTTCCTTAGCTTAACAGTATATATACTCATGTATTGTCATTGATTAGGTCGTGATGTGAGATTTAGAGAGAAAAAAAAGCCTCTAGTATTGTTCATCTTCTAAGGATTTAAGAGAGAAAATTAAGAAAAGGTGTGAACTTTCATGGTGGTTTGAGAGCTTGTATCATCATCAAGTTACTTCGTAGTAGATTGGTGGGTTTTCTCCCAGCACTCGGGTTCCCACAGTAAACTCTTTCTTGTTTTTGTTACTTGCTTGTATTTTACTCTTCGTTAATGTTATTCGTTGTTAATCTCAAACTTGCTAGCACATAGCACATACATTAATCCTACCATTAATTTAGACCTGAATAATCTTGTCATAATTAATGATATGTTTGAAGATTTACACTCAAACTCCATATTGTAAATCAACTAAAAATACACAAAACTACATTGTCTCTGTAAATGAATATATGCAAACTACTTTTATAATTTTTTTTTTAAAAATCTACAAATAGTTCGAAATGATGGATTTAAAAACTAATCCTCTCTCCGTATAAATCTAGATATAACATGTTTACCTTTTTTACTTTCAAAAGTCTTATGTTGACCTTAAATTGTGACTAACATATGAAAATAAATGTTAGTATGGTGTATATAAGAGCATCAATATTCGTGGTATAATTTTATACCTCGTGTAAAAATTCATCAAAATTCTGCAAATTTTTACTACTTTGGTGGTATAAAACTATACCATTTGATGGTATATACCATGGTAAACACTTTGCTTTGGTCCACGTGAAATATGAACCAACCAGGTCATGCCATGTAGGTTGGTTATCATATATCTTTTATTTTTTTTTTCAATTGCATTTTAAGAAAAAATTATTAAGTAAAAAATTATGAAAAAATTACCATTATTCATAATTTTTCAAGACCTACACATAGACACCCATTTTGATATATTTTTATACTACCTCCGTTAAATATTAGTTGCAACTCTAGAATATTTTATATCTTACAAATAATACTCAAAGTTGCAACTAATATTTAACGGAGGTAGTATATTTTTCGAATTCTCTTTTTACTACCTAAATTATTTATTTTATTTAATTAACTTTACAAATATTAATTAGTTATTTCCAAAATTCCAATAATAAAATGAAATATAATCATAATTAAGGGGGTGTTTGGTTCATCAAGTTGGAATGGATTGGTATCAAATCTCATACTAGAGAGGTATGGATTCTAAAACCCATATTAGTCCAAAGTTGTTTGATTTATTGTTGGAATAAATTCTATCCTTCATTAATAGAATGGATTGTGAATCTTAGGAGAAGGGGTGGGTATGGGATTCCATGGGTATGAGGGGGAGTTAGAACCCCTTGGGTATGAGATTCCCTTACTAAAAATCTCAACCAAACAAAAAAACTAGATGGAATGGATTCTAACTTCATTCCAACCCAGTCCAAATGATCCAACTAAACGACTCCTAAGTTAAGTGTATAATTAATAGGAGAGAGAAAGTGTAAACTTTTTTTATACCATGGGTGAGATGATTTTTGGAGAAAGTATATTGTATTGTGGTATAGCTGATGTGGAGGAGTAATAAAGTGGTAGAGAGAGATGATATAAATTTTTATACCATGAGTGATGATGGATTGATGGTCTAATACTCCGTACGGAGTAATTAATTTATAATTGTAATGTATAGATTGTATCTTAACAAACGGTTGCATATAACTATAGCATGAGGGAATAGTCTACTCCCTCCGTTAATTTTTATTTGCAACTTTTGCCATTTTAGTCCGCTAATAATTATGTGCAACTTTCTATTTTATTTCTATTTTTAGTACACAAAAACTCTGAAAATTACAAATTTACCCTTAATTAAAAATTCTGATTTTAATAATTTTACTAGTGGGTGGGCCAACTTTCTCTCTCCAAACACTTTAATCACTTTCAATTGCTAGTGGGTGGGCCAACTTTCTCTCTCCAAACACTTTAATCACTTTCATTTACTCCCACTAATGTTTACCCCTTAAATTTTGCCTCGTGAACCTCAAAACCCCCCAAAGTTGCAAATAAAAATTAACGGAAGGAGTACAACTTATTTTACCATTAGACAAGCTATCGCATTGCCCGCCCTCTTGACACGAAGACCAAAGCCGATAGAGGTCCGGTCACAAACGTGGTGTTAATAGGATGCCGCATTTAAGAAGTCCCACCCTCAACATCCATCTCACATAAACACAAGTACACAACACCCCATTTCCTAAACTCCCAAAACTCACCCCCTCTTTTCTCTCTCTTCGCCGTCGTCCGCCCAATTCGTACCTTTTTCCTTTCCGGTTTTCCGCTAGGTCAGTTCTATAAATTTTTCCAAATTCTATATTGCTTCTCCTATTATTTTTCTACTTTTTTTTCACAGTTATTTAACTTTAAGCTCTAATTTGTGCATAATTTGTTGAATTTGCCTCTTTATTTTTATGATTAATGTTACATTTCAATTGCAGAATGTTGGTAAATTTTAAAATTGTGGGTTAATTTAATGGGTTAGGGTTTTCAATTTTTGATGCAGAAGAAAAGCAAATTCTTGAATGGGTTTTTGTTGATTGTATGGTTATAGCTGACTGAAAGGTTTTTCGATCACTTCGAATTCAGATTTTAGCTTGTTCTTTTGTTAAATTAGCTGCAATATCGATTATTTGGTAAATGAATAGGAGCATGCGATCTACTTATTTTATTTGAGTGATTCTGGGTGAGCGAATGATGATAAACTACCCCATCAATTTTATTTGGGAATTAGGATAGGGTAGTTTCTGACTTATTTTTTCTAGCAGAAACTCCCTCCGTTCGGTACGAACCGTAGCATTTTGGCAGATGGAAAGTTCCCTACATGTTAGTGGGTTTAACATAAGAAAGAGAAGCATTTAAAAAAAACATAAAAAATAAAAAACTGGTCCATACTCCATACCATTTTCTGAAGTGTTGCAATTTACACGGACATGTTAAAATGGGAAGTGTTGCAATAAAGATGGGATGGGGAGAGTAACACATTTAAGGGTGTCGTTTTTTTAGCTATATACTTGTATAAACCAGCGTAGTTGGCATATGTTTGAAGTTTGAACAATGGTGGTTATTTGGAATTTACACTTTCTGCAACAAGGAACTGGTGTGTGTGTGTGTGCGCGCGCGGGCGCGTGCGCGTGCGCGTGCGCTGACTATCAGAAAATGAGCTTCTGAAGAGACCGATGTAGGTGGTGGCATACTGGCATTGTAACGGTTTGAAGGCATTATATTTGACCCAAACCATTATGTTGTCCTCCTTAGTAGGCTTTTAAATTTTGTTATTGTTGGTGTTCCTAGGATAGTGGGTTTTGCTTGATTGACTAGAGCTGAATTGGCTGATAGTATGATTATTTAGAGATGCGGAGTGTCATACTTGATTCTCTGGCATTAAATTGGCTGTTGAAAATCACTTTTTATTATCTTATTATATATCTAATGATAAGGATTTTACATACTTCAGGTTGACGGTTGTTGTAAAAGAACTTCAGTGTATGATGTTGATTTGAGCAAGATGAGTGGCTCAACTCGGCGAAGGTTAAAATCTGCAATCATTTGTGAACATACAGTTGATGATGCGAGCGAGGAATCATCTGCTCGTACAAGACCTTTAAGCTATGATGAGATAATGCTTAAAAGAAAAAGTAAGAAAGAAGTTGAAGGTTCTGTTGAGGAAGCACATGAAGCAGAAACTACTAGACATGAAGAAACTGTCAGGAACCCTGATCGTCGGAGCAGGGATACAAATGGTGCTGCCATGAAAAATTCACGAGATTCTCAACGTGAAGTTAGCCCCCGAAAGAAGGTGCAAAAGAGTTCAAGGGCAGAACATACTCATAGTAAAAGTGACTTACAAGATTCTCAACGGGAATTCAGCCCCAGAAAGAATGTTGAAAAGAGGTCCAGGACAGAACATATATATAGTACAAGTGATTTGCGAGATTCTCAAAGGGGAGCTAGCCCCATAAAGAATGTGGAAAAAAGTTCTAGGACAGAACATACTCATAGCAGAAGTGATTTACGAGATTCTCGACAGGAATCCAGCCCCAGAAAGAATGTTGAAAAGAGGTCCAGGACAGTAAATATATTTAGTACAAGTGATTTGCGAGATTCTCAAAGGGGAGCTAGCCCCATAAAGAATGTGGAAAAGAGTTCTAGGACAGAACATACTCATAGCAGAAGTGATTTACGGGATTCTCGACGGGAATCCAGCCCCAAAAAGAGTGTGGAAAAGAGTTTCAGGACAGAACATATCCATAGTAAAAGTGATTTTCGAGATTCTCAACGGGGAGCTAGCCCCATAAAGAATGCTGAAAAGAGTTCTAGGGCGGAACATATTCACAGTAGAAGTGATTTACGCGATTCTCGACGGGAATCTAGCCCAAGAAAGAATGTGGAAAAAAGTTCTAGGATGGAACATACTCATATTAGAAGTAATTTACAAGATCCTCAACGGGAATCCAGCCCCAAAAAGATTGTGGAAAAGAATTCAAGGACGGAACATACGCATAGTAAAAGTGAGAACAAGGAGAGGCATGATGTGGAGAGTAGATCAAAGCACAGACATGAAAATGATGTGAGGAATGATGCTGAATCTAAAAATGATAGGCAAGGTCGCATGAGAAGCAAAATAGAGGAACATTCTAGGGGTGATGGTAGGTCTAAACTAGAACTTAAGCATAATAATGATTCTGTTGCACAGGATAGAAACATTGAAAGAAATGGAGGAGCATATGAAAGAGAAAGCAAAAGGAGAGATAGAAGTGGAGATGATGAAAAACATAGAATGAAGGATCCTGTCAAAAAACTTGACAGTGGAAGTAGGCGCAACTCTGAGATTTCAGAGAGAAAGGAGAAGGTGGAGCTCTCACGCTCACAGCATGATGAAACTAGATCCAAAAGAAGGCGGTCTAGAAGTCAAGATCGTACAAAGGACAAAGCTAGGAGGTCCAGATCATCCTCACCTAAGGCACGGAAAAATGTGTTAGATCATGTGCATGACCATGGTGAGCTTTCTATACGTTCTGAAAGAGACAGGTCTAGATGCCATTCCGATGTTGACCGGAGCAAGATTCCTATTGATGGTTCCAGCAGCCATCATCGACGACATGGTGGCTCTTCAAGTGGGCTTGGGGGCTATTCACCTAGGAAGAGAAAAAGTGAAGCTGCTGTTAAAACTCCTTCACCTATTCATTCACCTGAAAGAAAAAGTGCTGGGTGGGATCTTCCACCCGGAGCAGATATAAATCTCAGTACTGCTGTTCCTTCTGGGACACACCTAATTTCTCAAACCAAGCCTTCTAATATGATTGAGTTAGCAGCTGGTTTTTCCGTTGCTTCAGGCATGGGAAAGCCCATATCTTCAATCTTGTCCAACAGTCTCTCTGCATTTAAGCAGGCCTCAATAGACTCTGTTCAACTAACACAAGCCACCAGACCTATGAGGAGGCTCTACATTGATAATATACCAGGCTCTGCCACTGAGAAAGAGATTATGGAATGTTTCAATTCTCTTCTGCTCTCTTCTGGTTCCAATTATATCCGAGGCACAAGTCCATGTATTAGCTGCATGGTAGGTGGCTTATATATATTTCATATTCTCTGCAGCACTTTCTTACTCTTTAATATATGGGATTTGTGCGATAGAATCACGCTTAGTAGTGTTGCTTGATTTATTGCAGATTCACAAGGAAAAGGGGCAAGCATTAGTGGAATTCCTTACTCCTGAAGACGCCTCTGCAGCGCTGTCTTTTGATGGAAGATCTCTCTCTGGGAGCATACTCAAAATCAGACGTCCTAAAGATTTCGTTGAAGTGCCAGTAAGAATTGACTACAATCTCACTTTTGCATTTCTCGTTTGAAAATGCTACTTATTCTACTCCTTCCGTTAAATGAGTTGTCAGCTTTTCTGTCTTGGATCCTTCTACTGAATGTGTCACGTTACTTAGGTAATCAACTGCTATTCCTTGCCTTCCTATGTGACCCTTTTCTCTCCTCAGAGCAGAAATCAAATTAGGATCGAGGTATATTGTTTTTCCTAGATTATTTCTACATATTTTCTGCTGATTGTTGATGATATAAACTTCTACTATGTGGCCAGATTATGCTAACTTGCAGCATAATTTTTAAATTCCATTCGTATTTTGTTTGCTTGTCTTTCTAATACAGTGAGATACAAAGCTGTGATTAAAATGGTGAAGTTTTAAATGCTTGCTTACTGCATTGCTGAGTATACGGGACCTCTTGTTGCTTAATTTTATCTTCTGAATGTGTAGAATTTGTTATATATATTGACCCTATATCTAGATTTGATATTATTTTCAATTTATGAATCAGTAAAAGTTTAGGATTCTTAGTTGCCGAAATAACCGAATGAAATTTGGTGGTTGCCTTTGTTGCTGTGAGGTGTATAACTGCTATACGAAATTATGTTCCTGCGAGTGTTTCTATTGTTGCTTCTGTATACTCATTGTTGGAGTATTATCTCCTTTGTGTTATCCTGCCAATAATTACTGTCCTTTTTCCATTCCGTATTAAAATTAACCCCTTTTGTGAGTTGTGAGTCTTGGTTATGACGTTGATTTTAGTTGGTTATTAACTTATTACTATTATTATTATTCTTTTTTTTTTTTTTTTTTTGAGGCAGCAGTCTGACCACATGTCAATTTGTCAGTACAACTTCCCACTTGGTCCTCTGACCCTTTAGTGCCTTTATTTCTTTCCTTTAAGATTAGCGCTATCTGAATTCTAGACTTGAGCAAGATTAAACTGGCATCATTTTCTGTTAGCTAGAGAGACGATGCTTTAGTACTATATTGGCGCCTATGATAGTAAGAACTCTGCTGATATATTAATGTGTTTTCTCTATGTGACTGGGTAGTTCATTTATCATATCCTGGCCCATATCTCCTCTGTACTTTTAATGGGGTACGGGGTATTTTTGTATTAAGTTTTTAGCAGAACTAGGGAATTTGTATTCTGTAGTTTTCATTGTATTTTTAGTCTATATTGACCAAGAAAACTATCACAATATAGAGAGAAGTTCAAGGGAACCGCTATGGTCTTATTAAGCTTCTAAGTTTTTAAATCTCACTATTGCTCAAGACTGTTATCCTGTTACACATTGTATGATGAAGCACAGTGCTAGGAAAATGAGGTACACCACTTTTTTGCTAGGCAAAGCACAATTAAGAAGCAAACCCTGAGTCCCGAAATGTTAATTTTACTCCAGCAATTTCTGTTTTTTTTTTTTAAAAGTGCGCCTCACTTCAAAAAGGCACACTCAAGGTGCGCTTCAATTTGATGAACACACCCAGGTTGTGTGTTGGTGCAGCAGGCCCCTCACACCTTAGTGCGCTTTGGATTTTTCAATACATTGCTGTAATAGTGATGTATGTCATTCTTAATTTAGTGCCTTTTTTGGGTTTTTGTCATCTTTGGCTTCGTATACCAAAAATCTCATGTAGATATGGTATTGACATAAATTGTTTTCACTTTGTTCATTACATTATATTTATTCACCATGGGAAGTGGCTTGCAAATCGGTAAAAAGAGGGTTTTAGAAGATTTTGGGATCAGTTAATAGGATTGGTGATGTGTGAGCTCCATAAAATTTGATAGATGATATTGATTTTGAAAAGTTAAGTATGTGGGAATATATGAATTGGAAGCATCTTGAGAATTTTAAACAAACCAAGAAAGGAGCAAAGTAAAGCAGTTCTTGACTTAATCATAAATTATTTAAAGATCTGAATGCAAAAAAAATTATTTTATTTTCATCCTATCAAGACTAAAGACATACTGCAAGTTAAAAGAATGGGCTTGTGAGAACCAGGGGATTGATCATTGGTGAAGCTATTGTCATGGTTCTGTTAGTTAGGAAGGGCTTGTGACATGTTTTCTGAGAGTGTTGACTGATGAGACACAGAAGAAATCTGAAACAACACCATTGTGATTGGGTGGAAACAAAGATGAGGCAGGATGTACTAGTGCTCACACTGCTCAGGATATAAGTGGTTTATTTGGCTATCTTGACTTTTCTATAAGATATTAAGATTCGGGTTTTTGTTTGTGTGGAGGAGATGAGCGCTAATTGGGGATGGTATATAGGGTTGAGCCTATTATGATGGAAGTAGATTGATGAGCCACAGATATGGGGTAAAGACTAGAGTGGCATATTGTTATCTATGGGAAATAGTATGGATTTTTATGATTCTATCTCGCAAGAGACAAATAAGCAAGAGGCTAATTGTTAGTTATGAGGAAGATGATTGCTTATTAATTTTGGAGGTAGGGAGTAATCTAATTTCTACCCATAAAAGGCATAATTTTAGTGTGTTTTTAAGCTATCATGGTTTGCATTGGCGGGCATAACTTTAGTGTGTTTTAAGCTATCATGGTTTATAGCGAGGTTATTCATTAATGAAAGAAGTGGTTGCATTAAGGTTTAGTATAATAAGTTATTTTGGACTCTTTTGCGTCGTAAATTATGAACTCTCTAATTCTTTTATGTACAATCATTGTTAGATGTCAATGCGAAAGTCTTTCAGACAAAAGTGTAAATTAGAGGAAAATCATTTTAAACTTGAAGACTGGGAACTTTTAGTAAAATATTCAAACTGAATTTATAATTTATGGAAGAAATAAAATAGAAACAAGGTATTTTTTTAATGCAATTCATCAAATACTAGTATAGTAGTTTTACCAATCATATATGTCTTGCATATCCATAATCTTTATGCTTTCTGGAACTTCTAGATTTAGAAAATCTTGTTATATTTATTGGTTTGAAGAAGTATAAGTTTGGTGAAGCGCAATTGTTTAAATCATGAGAAGTTCTAATTGAAGAATAAGTGACTCCTATTAACATATTTGGATTCGCTGGATATATATTTTGGGGCATAGATATAGATGCTAACAACAAACCAAAATCAAGCTGGTTATGTTGTTGATATATGGATTCTTGTGACAATATTATATTCCTTTATATTAATTGAAGCATTCTGTACTAGTGTACACTCTTAATTGTTCTGAATGCTATTGCAAATGCTGAGGCCTGAGGGGGTTGTATGGGGTATGAGATGGATGGAGAATTGAAGCTGAGCATGGCAAAGGACAAACTATTGGCTTCTGAACAAAGCCGCAAATGGATAAGCTAGGAGAGGTGAACAGTTGGGCACTATGCTTTTAAAAAGGAGAGAAGGCCAATAAGGAATTCAAAAGGATCAATTAAGTGTGACCCTAACTTTTAAAAAGGGCATGTATTGGACGTGCCAGAATGGTGATGAAGAATCTTTGAGACTAGCTTCTTTTGAATTTCATTTTATTCTCCCTTTTTTTTTTCTAATCCTCTTCAGTTTAGTGTTTAAGTCTCTATGCAATTTTTTAAAAAGTATATTTTTTGTTTGTGCTTCTACTTGTGGATTTTCAATTCTATTGTTTGTTAACTGCTGCGCACTCTTGCTCAGGTGGGTCAGTCGCGTCTTGACTCTCAATTTTGCTTGGAACAAGTCTAAAGACTATAATTGTGAAAAGTACTATGGGAAGACTAGGTTTCTTGGGTGTTTTTTTTTTTCCTGTGGATTCTTTTGTACTCTTATGCTTCTTTACTTTTTGTTGTCAAGTATGAGATTAAACACCCCCTCCTCGCAACTGAAAATATTAACGATTAATATGGATAGAGCTGCTTTTTTGAAAATTAGGATTGATGGTCATTAATCTGACTTTCCAACTTTACTTGCTGGCATGCTGACAGACAATCTTGAGAGTATCACAAAAATTTGAAAATAAACTCCTTTTATGGATTACCATGACGTACCTGATGTTCTGTTGAGTTTTTTTTTTTTTTTTTTTTTTTTTTTTGTTTTTGTTTTTGTGAATGTAGATGTGAACAAAATTACAACATGTTTCTTAAGAATGGATTGTGCTTCTAAATCAATGTTTCTACTGATTGTGCTTTTAGTGTTTTCATAAATGTTTTATGCTTTCTTTGTGGTAACTTCAAACAATTGCTTATTTTACGTTCCTTATGTTCTGACTTACTTGTTGGAATCTTTCACATAGGGTTTGTATCTTGGGTGTGTCGTTATTCACCATTTCATCTAAAGGATGGTGAGGAAGCTGACTCATAATTAAGAAGACTCCAGATGTAGTGACAATTGACAAGTCTGACATGTTTGCAGCTTTGTTCAGCAAATTGTGGGGCCCCTTACTGGACTTTTAGAAATAATTATTCCATTTTATTAGGTATACTAATATTAATATTCTTATTTGATGCTCAAGGCGTGCAATATTGTGAGTCATATCATTTGGTGGTCGTGGCTGACACAAGAATTACTATTTCATGGCTGACGCAAGCTTAGCTTGTATTTGATAGTAACAATTTCTGCAAGTATCTTCTCCTCCTATTAAGGACCCCTCCAATTGAGAATCTTAAAAAAAAAAAAAAAAAAAAAAAAGGAAAATAACCACAGCATTGAAAGCTGGTTTATGTAGAAGTAGTTACCTGTTATTTTTTTCTGAGTAATGAAATGATGAATATACTAATTAAAATCCATACAGTTTATATATAACTTTGTGTTTATATTCACAAAAAGAGAGGCTCTGGACTAAATGCCTTGGAGGCTCTCTCTCTCTCCTTTTTTTTCTTTTTTCTCTTTTTTTTTGACTGGTTTTCATAAGTTGTTTTGACCTTCACCGACTATATAGAACTTTGTTTTAAATTTAGTTTTTCAAATGTTTAGTCTAATCTTCTCAGGTGAATATTTTGATATAAAAGAATTATTTAATTCGATAAGAAAATCGTGGATAAAAATAGATAGAGGGGATAGAAAGTGGGTGTGTGTAAGAAAAAAAAGTGGATTAAGGGCAGGGTAAGGGGGGTAAGATGTTAAAAGGCATTGCGTATTAGTTGGGGTGCATTTTTATCTTACTCTTGTTTGGTTGATTTAGTTTTATGTTTTAGCTATCGTGAAGAATACTTTAGCTGCATGACGTAACAGTGGATTGATTGTTCCAATTGCTCTGACCTGTTATAATTTATTTCATTTAAGTTACTTACTGCCTTGGTGTCATATGTTTCTTTTACGGTTTCCAATAACTCCTTGCACAACTTTGAGCAAGAATACTCCTGTTTTGTGGTCCAATATCCTGCTCCTTCTTCCATGGCGTGTCACATTACTTACATTATTTTCCTAAGTTGATGCTATTCTATTTTATATAAAGTGAAAAACTTGCCTAAATTGGAGCCTGCTTCCAAGCACTTAAATAATTGTGATAGCTTAGTTGCAGTCATGCCTTTTTTCCACCATCTACTGTTAGTTATCCATCTATCATTAGTTCATGACAAGATGATGATATGAGTCAATAAAAAAAGAACTCTTTAGACTCGATAATAATCTTAGATTCATCCATTATAATTTGTGGAATACTGGAATGTACATTGGCATCTCTTACCTGCAGCTGTTGACCAGATATTAGATGTTTTACTAAGATTTCCATGCTCTAGCAGTTCAGAATATGCAGTTTTGCTTGGATAATGGATATATTGATATTATGTATGTTTTTATCCATATTTGGCCAATCTTTCTGAATTGTGAAATGAGCATATGACACAGCAGAACTATGCTTTTTCAGCTGATAAGTCTTGTCTGCAGTAGGTCCATGATGGGAGTGTTGTTATTTTTCCATGTAACTTTTGGTTCTGTTACTCGTCCTTGTCTTACTCAAAATGTTTTTACGTATGTTGTCATTGCGTGCTGGGTAACAGATCCAATGGAAGAAAAAGAGGGTTCCAGAACCATGTTATTTTTCTGAACTCATTTTGGGGCTTCTTGGTGAAATTTTGTATTTTAAGATGAAGTGGCTCTACTACTTTTGCAATTTCTGAGGTATATTTTGGTTATCATTCATGAAGCAGGTTTTCAGACAGTTGCTATTTTCATGCAGAGTGGATCTTCAGAGAAATCAAAAGCTGGAGCCAATTTGATAAGAGGTGATTCAATCCGAGACAATTCAATCAGAGGCAATTCAATCAGTGAAGTTGGTATTCAGGTCATAAGTGATTTTGTGCAAGATTCTCCACACAAGGTAATGCATGTGACGGCATTTTGGTAGTGTAATCTGTTTTCATCCTTTGTTTTTTCTTCTATTTATCAGTGCGTTTCTATTAGCCACTTCTTGTTGCTTTGGAGGTACAAGACCGATTAGTCTTTGACATTTTTTATTTTTTGGGTTCTGAGAAGGCATTCTTATAATGGTGTTGCATTACTCCTGGATGATGACACATCTGAGATGGAATTTGAATGATTTGGCTGTGTGGAAATATCTCTCAAAGTTAGGTTTGAAAATTGAACCTTGAAAAAAAAATTCAAGCTTTTATTTCCATCTGAGATGTATGAAGCTTGATAAAGCCTTCTTTTTTTTCAAACTCACAACTGGTCATTAGATCTGTATTCTTATATTTATACTATTGGCAATTGTTTATTTGAATGATATTGGAGGTAACTTGCTGGTGTATCTGCCACTTTGTGGATTACTTAGGGGAGTAAAACATCCGCCCATTTGTTTGCATGATTGTGAAGGAAAGGACAGTTGCAGATGAAGTTAAATGCTTCTTTCTAGAGAAGATATTGACAAAAAAATTCTTATCATTAGGTTGTTAACATGCTACTTCCTTATTCTCATAATCTGATGATGACATAAGCTAATACAAAATTGAAAAAGCTAATTGCCCTTGCACAGGCAAGATTTTTTGCTTGGTATTTTGTGAATGCCTTTCTTGCTGGACTATATAAGTGATCCATGTTTTTCAGTGGTACTTTGACTATAAACTAAGATGCCTTTTCGAATTTGTGATATATATATGGGAGATCACAAACATCCATCTGAATTTACATTGGAGATTTTGCTTGTGATTCTTTTATGCTATATTTAATTGCTCTTTTAGTGTATATTATGTTTGCTCAGGCGTTTAATATTAATAATAGTGTAGTAGAAGTTGCATTAGTACTATTATTGTTATTATTTCTTTTAAGTAATAGAAACTTTTTGTGATATGAATAGCCTGAAATTAGTAAAATGTTTCTATTACTTTGTACATTACTACTGATTTTTATGCTTCAAGTCTTACAAAGTAAATAGAAGCATGCTTTATTCCTCATAAAAGTTATCGATTGTTCTTTGGCTATTTATGCATCTGTTGTAGTTTCCTCTTTCCTGTTCTGTATGCTTTTTTTTTATTGAAACAGCCTCTCTGTTAGTCATTAAATAGTTAGTTGTAACACTGTGTGTATATATATATTTCTCCTGTTTTGTTGCAGCAGGATTAATATTGGGTTGTGATTTTTATTTTCAATCTGTTTACTCAGTATACTTATCTTTGGTTATGGTACTGCAGATCTTTGTTGGTGGAATTGCTGAAGATCTTTCTTCTGAAATGGTAATGAGCTCCAGCATTGGCCTGGTGCTGTATCTTTATACTTGTTTTCAGAAGTCAATTGTCTCCAGGATCTGGACTTATAAGCTTAATAATTTCTTCTCAGATTGTGGAGATTGTTAGTGCCTTTGGAACGTTAAAGGCATACCGTTTTGAAGTCAATCCGGATCTCAAAGAACCATGTGCTTTCTTAGAGGTATTCCTTGTTTGTGTTGGAAGTTGCTCACTCTTTAGTAATTGACTGACTGCCTTTTTTATTTTATTTATTATTTTTTATTTGTTTAACCTTGTTGTTCATGACCTTATAAGGAGATAGAATATAGTATTGCAGGACACTTGTTGATTTATCACTTGAATTTTCAATTTCCTTGTATGTTTGGGGTCTATTATATGTTTAGAGAGTGGATGGTGAAGAGGGAACTTTTTTCGGCGGGTTGTTGACTTGCTGTGGTGGGAAATTGGAGTTCAGTGTTGCACATCTATTGCCTGAAATTACATTGAAGGATTCATTAATATAGTATAATTCGTTGCAAGCTTTGCCCTGTCACCTGTTGCTTTGACGCAGGTCTTGTGTTAGGGGTGTCTTCCCCCCCCCCCCCCCCCCTCTTTTTGAATCTGCAAATTTTTTGTAGATGGTTTTGGCATGAGAAATATGGCTTTGTACGAAACTTCTTTTGCTGGGTGTCTTTAGTTTGGAAGGCAGGTTCATCTATATCCGTTTCCTGTGATTTATACCAGCAGGCTACACCATTAATGCTCAAATGCCCTCTCTAGTTGAATGTGAAAATATGCACTTATAGTCATTTTACTTTTTGTTTATTGCAGTATACAGACCAGTCTGTCACGTTGAAAGCTTGTGCTGGCCTGAATGGCATGAGGTTAGGCGGTAGAGTTCTGACCGTAGCCCAAGCTGTTCCAAACACAGAATCAGTGGTATAAAATGTGTACACTGTACTACTTTAGATTGCTTAAATTGTCTTGACATTGAGCTAAATTTTTTTATCTGCATTCATATATATACTCTTTAGGGCTCATGCCTTGTTGGTTGATGAAGACATGTTGATGTTTTTCCAGGAAAGCTCAGGAATGCCCCCATTTTATGGAATACCCGAGCATGTGAAACCCCTTCTTGAGATGCCAACAGAGGTCCTCAAGCTTAGCAATGTGGTGAGCTATGTCTTTCGACTTGACTATTTATTCGACAAACCTTGTATTTTGGTAAGTGTTCAATCTTCTGATGGTCATTCTTTTCTCTCATATTATTCCATAGCTTGATCAGAAGATCATGGATTCGCTATCTGAAACAGACTTGGAAGAAATTGTAGAGGATGTACGATTAGAATGTTCCAGGTACAGATCTGAGTTTACACTCTTCTAATTTGATTCTTGGTTGTCTGTGTTTGAACACGAGGATACACACTAGTTCAGTCATGCATTAAGATACCCGCTTTCCTGTGTTCTGCCTAATTTTGGTATTAAAATGTTCTACTTTTGTGTGATCATATTTTTCAAGGGTTGAATCAGGTAGTTGGATTGGAATGAAAGTACATGCTACGTTGATCCTTCATTTCTTATGTTGTGCAACACTTCTACATATCTAATACGGAGTAGTATATAATCATTACAGGTTTGGCTGTGTTGTGTCCATTAATGTCGTAAAAGGTTGCTACACAAATACTGCCATTTCAGAAGCAAAAGAGGTTGCATTTAATGTGAATACTATTCAGCCTCCAGAAGAAAGAAGAGATCACCATTTGAATGTGGATCCAATAGAATTTTCTGTTGACCATGATGACAGGGATGGCAGTAATGAAGAAGCTCCAACCAATTTCAAAGAAAATCATGCAATGGATGGTGTTTTAGGTGATAAGCATGAACTAGACCCTGCAACTACTAACCCAGATCTTGAAGGAGCTGCTGAAGTAAGAACTGTTGAAGAATCAAAAGAAGATGACAAAAATTTGCAAAATTCTGATGACAAAGCTGATAATGACCCACAAGAAGCTGCTGTGATTGGTGCTTCTACTATTGATGACATGGAAAGAGTCGATGATTCTAAGGGGAACCATCAAGAGTCCATCCAGGAGAGTGGTGTATCTGCTGAGTTAAATGCAGATGGGAGTATGGTTATTGAGAAATCAGGGAATAGTGAAACTCTGTGTGCTGAAGATGTACCAGAGTTGGACAAAAATAGTGACATGCTAGAAGCTGTACTAGAGTTGGACAAAAATAATGACACACTAGAAGCTGTACCCTTGCCTACCATTCCAGGAGCTACTGAAGGTCTAACAAATGAAAATTCTTGTGATAGGAGTAATAACTTGTTTGAGGATGGTTGTGTCCTGGTGGAGTTTAAGAGGACAGAAGCTACATGTATGGCAGCACATTGTTTGCATGGGCGTGCTTTTGATGACCGTATCGTGACAGTGGAATATGTATCGCTGAAGGCCTACCGAGAAAGGTTTCCAAAATGAAAATATGGTTCAATATACAGGATGGTAGAATTGTAGTCTTAAGTAAGGGCATCAGCAGGAGAATTTTGTATTTGAAATTGTGAGGCTTCTGTCATCTATTCTGTTCTCAGCATGCAGTATGGTTCAGGGATCGTTCTGAAATTCCCTGTATTGATCTTTGTCCACCAACCCTCCAGAAAGAGCTTCTGAAGAAATTGCCCTTTTACGAACAGAACAGGCTTTTAGGATGTATGGCCATTATCATGAGCATTCATGTTTCAGCAATGTGCTCATATAATTTTTGCCAATGCTGTTAACAAATTCGCGTACTCATTAACCTGTATACCAACAATGGATTCCTGGTGCTCTCATATACAAGTACTAGTTATGACAAATTTAGTGTATTGATAATTTTACTGTCCTCTTTAGTAGTCATTTGCTCCTTTCCCTTTCTTTGTGGAATGAGTGTTTGCTACTCAGTTTCTGTAGGAGCAATTTTATGATGAAAGTGAAAGTGGCTAACAGGTGAGCTTGTTCTTTGCTGAAATTGAATTCCTGGACAAGTATTGTTCAATGTCTATATTGATCAAATTTTGAAGGGAAATTTGCAAGCGTAGTCAAAAGATTATTTTTTTTTTGCTTTCTCTTCGTTAGTGGAGTATTTTCTTCTTCCTTAATCTCCTGTAAACTCTCTCTTGCTTACTCCTTTGTTAATGGAGTATTTTCTTCTTCCTTGATCCCTCTTGTGAACTTTCTTCATCTCTTTAAAGGAAGTATATGCCCCAACCTAATGGTGGTAGTTTTGCATCGATTGCAAGGTGGGATATGGGTGTAAACGCAATCTAAAGAAAGCGAAAGTAGTTCATTAGAGGAAAAGGAGAAAGTGGAGGTAATTTGAAGAACAATAAGGAGGAAGGTGATCTATGTGAAAAAAGAGGGAAGAGGAGGTAGACAATCTAGACATGTTACAATGATACAATGTTCTTTAGGGGTACAAAACTACAAAGTCACTCTTAATGTTATATAACATGATATTATAAAATAGAAATTTTATATACCAATCTGGTAAATCCATGGATTTATCTACGCCCTTTGTCGTTAAATATTTGTAACACTTGTGTTTCGAGTAATTTATGAAATACTAGTGGGAAATATTTGTAAAGTGACTAAATTATTATGCATATGAATTTTATTTTTAATTGTTTGTACAAGGAGACAATAAGAAATTAATGGGGTTAGTATAAATTAGTGCCAGTTATGTAAATTACATAGTATTTAGAGGCCAAAAAACGCAAGTGTGGCAAGTATTTAAAAATGAGGAGAGTATTACAACGACCGAAACAGAGCAGTTTTACAGTTCCACATCATCCACCTATCTCAATTTCCAACCTTCTAAAAACAGATAACGAGACACTGAAAGTTTAACAGGAGAGAGAAAAATGGCAGCAGCTTCAGCAATGTTGATAAGCAACCCAACCAATGTGTGCTTCCGCAAACCGCAATTCTCATGCTCATTGAAACCCAAACCAACTGTTTCTGAGCTAGGGTTTCTCACTTCCCAATTCACTGGAATTCAAATTTCTCAATCTCCATTTCTCACCACCATTAACAAACCCATTTCTGCTCCATTCAAACCTTCGCTTCAGCCTGTTGCTCGTAAGAACTCTTTTCCCCTTTTCTCAATTTGTAATAACTTCTCTGTTTTTTGGATTAGTTATGGCTTTATCTTTGTGGGTTTTCAATTTTTCTGAGTTTTGTTGCTTTTTTTTTTGTTTTGTTTTTTTCGGAGGGTTTCTGGTTAATTTGTGTGCCAATATGTTGCATTTTCTGCGATTTTAGTGTCTGCTGTTATACTTGTAGAATATTTAGTATTTGTTAATTTGCTGCAAAATTGAGCTGAAATTAAGAATATTATCTTCAATTTTTGCTGTAAAAGGATGGAATTTAAGGATATTATTTCTGTAAGTTAAGAAGTTTTTGGTGAAGGCTGCATTAACTAGCTCAAGTGAAGGTGGGGCGCTCTTGGTTTTCGCCAATTATTGTTGGTTGAGCATGTTTTTGATCATGGACTGATGCTATTGCTGTACCATAACTTTAGCTTTACCATCAGATTGTGATAAATGTTTTGCACATAAGTTATGTTTGGATTACATCATATTGTTGTATAGACGTTATCTGCTTGAGTGTTGTTGTATCGTCGTTATCTGTTTCAGTATTGTTGTATTGGAGAACAAGAGGAAAGGCATTGTTATCTTTCGAGTTTCAGCAGTGTTGTTGAATGAACAGTATGGAACCTGTTACATCTTTGCTAGTAGAACTTTGTAATGGATGATGTCAATTGAAATTTAGCTGCCTTAGGATACTAGGAAGGAGTGGGAGGAAGTAGTGGGTTTTAGCTAAGAAATAAAAATTCTCTTGCTCTACATCTTCCCATGCTCCCTTCGATTGCTCGAGTCGCTAATTGATATAGTAATCTTTGCTGATGCATTTCACACAGTAGAATTTTGATATTGGAGAAATGGAGACGAATGTCTAAAATAGTTATGGTAACTTTTTCTTTCAGAATTTGATTTGTGTAGCCTATGACACTACTCCATTCGTTTTTCCTAATCTCTCGCAAAATTGGTCATAAATTACAAAATGTTATTGTTCTGCCATGTCTGAAATCTGTTACCATGGAAAGCTAAAGCATCAATGGCCAGTTTGGTGCAAGGCAATAGTTGGTGGAAATGATAATAAAATTATATATAATTTTGTAAGTAAACTATCTAAGTTTTTTTTCAAACCCAGGTCTCTCACCTGGAATTTGAGAGACTTGGCCAACTGAGCCAAGCCTCCTTCTCAAGTAAACTATCTAAGTGTTATGCCAATGTCCATAGTATTACTCCACCCCAAGGTATACCTTTCTCTTCATGAATTGCATTACTATGGGCATTGAGGTGGAACTTATCTTAACAAAGTTACATATACAAAAAGTATATGTATTATTATTACAATCATTCATTGTCGCCAACTAAGCTGACCGTAAGTAGCTGTGGCAGAGTTGGTGATATTGAGTCCTTGAAACTGTATGGTATGAAGCTGAACAATTGTTGATCAAAGATCTACTGCTTATTCTATCCCGGCTACAATGTCATTTTATCTTTATATTGGCTGTTGAATTTTGAAGTATCTAATATTTGTGACACTTCTTGTACCAAAATTGAGGTTATTAAGTTTATGAGGTGATTGCTTATCAGGCCGAGTATGTCCATTCACTGGGAAGAAATCAAACAAGGCAAATAGGGTTTCTCACTCAAACCACAAAACAAAGAGATTGCAGTTTGTGAACCTGCAATACAAGAGAGTCTGGTGGGAAGCTGGTAAAAGGTTTGTCAAACTTAGGTTATCTACCAAGGCTTTGAAGACCATAGAGAAAAATGGACTGGACGCTGTTGCTAAGAAGGCAGGGATTGACCTTAGCAAGGCATGACAGAACAGAAATGTTTGTAAAGCAACGAGAACGCCAATTTTCATGTTTTGTAATCCAAAGTTTTATGGTTGACTTGTATTGATTACAGCTTTTGCCCTAGGTTTTTGAAATTATTTGTAGCATATTGAGCAAATTAATGAAAAAGCAAATTCCAAAAAAATGGAGGTTCATGGTGTTACAATATCTGGTCCATTGTTTCTCTTGGAAACTAGTCATGTATGAGCTTTAAGTGCTAATATTTGATAGAACTCAGTAATGGATTATTGGTCTGTGAAAATTGTTCTGCATAACATTTTGTATTACTAATAAACATGTTTCCATTGTAATCATATAGCCATGTAAAGCCAGGTGCTTTCCGTGTAGTTAAGGAAGTTCTTTTTCTTATAACCCCAACACATATGCTGGTGCAAAACGAGCAGGAAAACGGACTCCTAACTAAGTCCTGTAACGGTGGTTCTTTTCCATGGGAGCTAAGTTATGTTTGACCGGAAAACTGAGTCAAATTTTCCCTACTCGTCCCCGTTTCTTGTGAAAGATGGGGTTGATGGCGGCCTGACCTATGTTACATGTTCTTGACTTCAAGTAGACAGGGATGTACAGTTCCAGAACTTCATCCTTGTTTCTTTGACGCAGGTTGGGCCATAGTGATGATTTTGGAGAATTGTTTTGTTAGGGCTCCTAAAGTCAAAATGGGAGTTGATTAAAACCAATTACTGCGATCTAGGAGGGTTAAATAAGGTCTGAACATCAATGGTTTAGAAGAATCATATGTATGGATCCTCAGGTGGACAAATGGAGCTTTTGTATGGTTGAGAATAGGACAAAAAGGGTTCCCTAGAAGGTTTGCATAGTGTCTGGAACCATCTCATTTATGCATTGGCCCACTCCTCGTTATCATGTCTTAAGATTCCTTGCCTTGTCTAGGCCTTGCGTTGCTTTGCTTTGGCCCTAAGACAAGCCATGGCGTTACTCTCAATAATCAAACTCATGCTTGAGACTTAATACTTTTATAGACCCAATAGTAACCTTATTATGATTCCAAACCAACTTTTATGACCTCTAGAGACACCCCCACACTTCAATTTTGGAAAAAAAAAAAAAAAATCACAAAATTGGTCCAAAAGCGTAGATTATAGCCTTCAATTTTTGATAATATTCAACTTTTCTGGACCCAAATAAAAAAAAAGAGGTTGTGGTGCTTCCTGCAAACCCCACGTGACCCTAGAAGGTCATTTAAATGGTTAGAACCATCCAATTTGGCTTTAAACTATTGATTCAACTGACTAAATACATACTTAATTCCCTTCATTAACTGAACCACATGACTTTATGTGATCGACTAGTAGCCATATCGGTTCCAAATAACATTATATGACCCTTGAATGCATCCTCTGCCATCATTTGAGTTTTTGGATACTACCGCAATTGGTCCAATTTTGGGTATTAGCTTTCATATTTTGGCTCGGGAGAATATTTTTGGACCTAGTAAGGTTATGCATTGAAATGTTCCCTGGATTTCCAAAGGGGTTTGAGAATCCTACTTGGCACCCAAAACTATCTTATTCATGCTTTAGCCCACCTCTCGTTATCCTATTAAGAACTAACGCACCTCCAATACATACCAAATCAACGGTGCATTCCTCTCATGGCCCTTATGGAATATGTGGGTTTTCATAATTACCTCCGTGTTTTTTAGTTGACACGCATTCCTTTTTAGGAAGTTTTTTTTAGTTAACACGTTTTCTTTTTGAATAAGTTTTATAATTTGCATTTACTAGTTACCCTACTTGCTTTATCATTCTCTATCACTCTCTCTCTCCTCTCTTTAATATGTGTGCCTAAATTGAACGTGTCAACTAAATAGAAACGGAAGAAGTACAATATTAAAGGTTTTTTATAAAGCATGTTTTGTCACCTTTGTTTTTTTTTTGATTCATTGTCATCTATTGATCTGTATACACCTTAACATATTGAGACACCTTAAAGAGACTTTCTCAATATGCCTTTTATGTCAAGACTTCAACATATATATTTTGTAGGCATTGTAGCCTTTCAAGTTTTTTATTTTTGGACCTATCATTTTGGTCAAAAGTTACCTTAACATCCAAGCGATGAACCTGCTTCACGGACAGCCTTAAACGCTACTATGGATCAGATAAAAATCCTATAAATTTTCTGAAACTTCTATTCAAATTCAAGATCTCATTACCAAATAATAATGATATGATTGCACTAAAGCCAGCCGATAGATATCCTAGGCTATGCATATGAATCAAAATACGATGCATATTTAAAGTACTTGCAAGTTTGCAACCTAGTTCTTATCCATGAAAAGCAAAGAACTAGATTGCAAAATCAAGCAGCAAGATACTAGGGGCAATTGCTATTCAAAACTGTGGTTTATGATAAATTGACTTAAAACTGTGGTCTATCCATCTATGATTCCCTATGTTAGAAAACCTTCCTGGCCCGAGAGCCAGTGAGTTTCCAGCAGAAAATTTTCTATAACAATAAGACCTGTACAACAGGGAAACACCTAACTGAACGGTTCAACAGGAGCAGTTTCTTGAAGAAGAGCAGCAGCCTCAAAACATTCAAGAGCTTCAGTTGTTGCTGCACCTTCAGGTTCGGATCGATGTAGCAACCCAAGAATGTGCCAGGCTGTATGATTAGTCCTGTCAAGACGAATTGCTTGCCTGATAAAGGTTATGGCAATTGGCAGGGTTTGATCTCCGAATTGCACAAGAATTTGAGCCATGGAAATCAAGCTAGGAACATGGTTGGGATCCTGGTCCAGCGCATCCCAAAAAGACTTCTGAGCTTCTTTTTCGAGTCCCTTCGCTAGGTAAAGTAAACCTTGTGCACAATACATTATACACACAAGCATTAGTACTGATGACAAAATCAATCACAAATCTCATTGTGGAGTCAACGACAGGTAAGTACAGAGAAATAATTTTTGAACAACTACATGTTGAACAGCCACAATCACTACTAATGGCTTTGGACCTGGCCCATCTATTCCAGCTGTTATGGAGAACCAATTAGAAGCACTAGCATATGAGGGGGAAGGAGAATAAACTTCTCTAGCTGTGCTTAATGGTACTGGTACACAATACATGTGAAGAAATTGTGGATGAGATGAGGGGGGCAATTTTCGAGCCTGGACCCTAACTTGCAACAACCAACTGCAATCCTTACTAGATGATTAGACTTGTACGACATTGGTCCTTACAGTTCAGACACAAAAAACCTAAATCTATAGCTAATGGCTCCTAGTGCTATAGATTTATGAATGCCACTACTCACATGCCACTCAATGCTAGTTGCTCACTTGCTTAGTCTACCAAGCAGATAACAAGGGATTATGGATTATGGAAAGGGTATCTAAAGTAAGCATGTAAAAGGTCATATTTTCATTATCTGCCAAGCATCCAATGGAAAAAGACAAGGTTTTTGTCTCCAATCAGTCCAACCAGCATGGATATGAACATACAGAAGAGAGGGGCTGGGGAGGAGCTACATCAAAGGAATGGTAAAAATGGCTGCAAAAACTAGATATCAATTCCTCATGTTCTATCAAAACTATCAAAGTGGGCCTGCAAGAGATGTGATGGACTTGAATATAACATCATTTACCTCTGGAATGACATCTAGAAGCAGAATGAGGACATAGTGCCTCTGATTTTGAGAGGCAGATCTCAGCATCTCGCCATTGTGATAGGCTTGTGTACACGTTGGCCAGGTCATGCCATGTCTCCATCTCCAAGATTTTATCTTCCTCCTTCCTCTGTCATCATAATTTGCCATGTATAGTCATCCCACTAGGTACCTTACCAGAGCAGACACTCTATGAAGATATTCAAATAAATGGTTTATCTTATATGCTAAAATTTAATTATGGTGTCTTGTCAAAAAAAAAAAAAAAAAAAAAATGGTGTCAAAACAAAACAAGGAAGCTTAACAAAGAACACATCAAGTACATTCACTTGCAGTTCTTTTGGTACAATCAGTACAAAAATGTCAAGTTCTTATGCTGATTAGATACTCTCTATCATTATCCTTTTGCAGTTTAGAATACTTGTAAAAAATATGAAGGCAAAGAGCACAATAATGGCCAAGTTATAGCTCTTTAATCACAATCCTCATGATTTATGAATTTCTTATTTCAGAGTGATTATCAAATTTGACGATTCACAACTGACAAAATAACAATTTTTTGTTAAAAATATTACGAACCAAGAATAGGGATCTGATATTGTTTGCAATGAATATTCAGAAAATCAATTTGAACTATTGAAGTTAGCCAGAATTGAAAGGAGAACAGTCACTAGGAAATGGATTTAAATAAACAACAGAGAAACATACCTCTATAATCTTTTTCTTGATGCCAAAAGGCCCACTACTTTTCTTCCGAACTTGAAGAACTGCAAGAAGATGAGTATATGTCTGTATGGCAATCTTAGTTTTGCCTTGAGCAATTTCGAGTTTTGCTCTAGTTCTCAATAATTCAGCATGTTCCCACTTCCCAGTTTGTTCCAAAGCAGCATTGACTATAGTTTCTGCATCAATGTAGCGCTTCTGAGCAGAGAGTATACGAGCCAGAAGAACCCATCCTGCAGTACCTGAACTAGCCTCCAGTTTCAGCAACTTTTTTGCATACGAGAGTGCAATATCCAACTTCCGCTGCTCAGCATTTTCTAAGGCAAGCTGATATATGACGTTTGCGTCTGTTTCATTCGTCATTGCTTCAGCAGTTCCCAACAGGTCTAGAGCTTTAGATTGCATCCGTGCTCTTTTGGAGTCAGAAGTAAGCAATTTGGATTGTGCTGATGACAAAACACCTAACAAGCAGGTGGCTTTACAGGACAGTTGTTCACAGTCTCCTTCCAATCTCTTGATCGCTTTTCCAGAATAATTGATCCCTTCTTCAGAGAAATTTGTATCTTTAGCACATATTTTCGAAGCAAGTAATAGTTCATGCGTGCAGTTGTGAATTTCGCGGTCATTAAGAAGATTCCTCAGTAGGTTTAAGCTAACCTTATCTTCTCCTAGTCCATGATAACATAGCGCAAGGCTGCTATAATTCTCCTTCCTGTCAATGGCACCAGCAGGTAATTCTTCTAATTGACGGGCTAGGATGCTTAAATCTCCAGATGTAGATAGCGCAAAGGAAAGATGATCCACGATTGATGGATCCCAGTCAATCCTTCTCTGAAGAAATTTCTTCAGCAAGAGCAAAAGAAGTAGAATTGCCTCTTCTATATTGTCACTAGGAACATATGCCCCTTCCACTTGGAAACAAAGCGTTGGGGGGCTTGCATCAGTACCACTGTACAATAGAAAAATTGCAAATTCTTTTTCAATCCTTGCTTGAGTTCCCATGTCAAGATTCCAATTATAGAGTAATGCATGACGGTATGATGAAATTGCTTTATTGGGGGACAAAGCAAGTTTCCACAACTCAGGTTGCAACTCCACTGTACTATCCAAGGTCTCTTGCATTTTACAGTGGGTGGAAAACCGTCCGTTCAAACCCTCTGGTATCGCAGACTCTACAGTTTCCACAATCACCTGGCATGATTGAGCAGCTTCTGCAGAAAGATGCAGATTACAAAATTAGCCTTTGAAATAATTCTACAATCATGAGCAATTGACTATTAAATTATGCCACGGGGGAAGCCTCACAGGTTTATAATACTATGCTACTCAAAGAACAAGCACACTCACATATTGCTACTTTGAATCTATCAGAATCATGCATGTAGGACCTAGTGAAGTTATCTCATGCTTAGCTGAAGTCTTAACCACATGATCATACTGAGAAACAAACTCTGAGCAATGTGAAAGAGCTTCACACTGATTCTGATGCGCATGTTGTGGTGGAAATCAGCAGAGTAAAAGGCAGTCAAATTCGTTAGAATACAAGAGCTACAGTAAGTCTGTAAAATGGATACATTGGGGATAATCCTGAGCCAATTATGTTCTATTGGCATATACTCCCTTCATCTTGATTTAAGATGAAATTTCCCATTTTATAACGTCCCAAAATTAATTTAACATCTGGTCTTAACAAATCTTTTACTCTACTCTTTTTCCAATGTTAAAGCTGGGTCTCACACCCACTTACTTATTTTTCTCTACTTTTTCACTCTCCTTAATCTCCGTGCAAAAGGTAGATGTTAGCTTAAAAATGGGATGGAGGATAAGTCTGATCTCTTGCTCCAAGTTTTACATTGTTAGGACTATGGTCAATGTTGATAAGTATTAGGTGACTCGTACTTCGTAGCTTTGTCCGCCCGATCGGGCGGACATTGCCCGGTCTGACCGGGCGGTGGGGGTTGGATACGTTGAAGCATTCGTATGGAGTTTTCTTCTCGCGCCCGATCGGGCAGACCTTGCCCGGTCTGACCGGGCGGAGAAGGAAAAATGCGGAGACGCGGATTTTACGATTTAAAGTTATCTTTTATGTTATCTTTTTGCCCAAGTATCTTTTATTTTAGGGATTAATATAAAACCTCCCTAATATTAGTATAAGGGTTAAGAGAGAGAGAGTGAGAGCCGTTCTTGAGAAATACAAGAATCATCTTTGTAATCTTTGCAGTTTATAGTGAAATCATTCGATCTCGGTGCCCGTGGACGTAGCTATCACATCGATAGTGAACCACGTAAATTCTTGGTGTTGTTCTTATTGTTTGCATTGAATTTCTTTATTGTTTTCTTGTTTGTTTTCGACCTTTGCTTCCGCTGTCGCACAACAATTGGTATCAAGAGCTCAGGTTCAATCCTTGGAGAGTTTCTTGAAGATAACAATGGCAGGAGATTCAACAATAAGAATTGAGAAGTTTACCGGGAAAAATAGTTTCGGGCTATGGCAAATTAAGATGAAGGCTCTGTTAAAACAACAGCAGATATGGCGTCCGTTGGCTCCAAAGAGTACTACTTCGGAGTCAGAAGATGGACCGACTGACCCGCAGTTAGAAGTTATGGAAGAGAAGGCACACTCTACCATATTACTTAGTCTTGATGATCAAATCATCACGGAGGTGGCTGATCAGGAAACGGCGGCTGGATTGTGGCTGAAGCTGGAGTCATTGTATATGACTAAGTCGTTGACCAACAAATTATTACTGAAACAGCGGTTGTTTAGCCTCCGGATGCAGTCAGGTACTTCCTTACGGGAACATCTAGAAAAACTTAACTCTATTTTGCTTGATTTACGTAATTTAGATGTTAAAATTGATGATGAGGATGCTGCGTTGATTTTACTTGTATCTCTACCGTCTAGCTTTGAGAATTTTGTAGAGTCTTTTGTTGTTGGTAAGGATTCTATAACCTTAGAAGAAGTGAAGGCAGCACTTCATACTAGGGAACTCAGAATGAAAGCTACGAGTGATAATGGGGATAATGGTAGTGGGTTGTTTGTTAAGTCCGGAAAGTCTAAAAAGAATAAGGGGTTTAACAAGGGGAACAATGCTGGGTCGGGTGCTGGAAACGGCAAGGATGGATCTAGTAAAACTACTACTAAAACATGTTATTACTGTAAAGAACCGGGTCACTTTAGGAATAATTGTCCGGTGAGGAAAAACAAGTCCCAGGCTGCTGTAGTTGAAGAGAAACCGAATGAGAGCTATAATTCAGAGGAAGATTTAGCATTAGTCAGTTCTGCTAGGTCTGATGATTTATCTGATAACTGGGTTCTAGATTCGGGGTGTTCGTTCCATATGTGTCCACGTCGAGATTGGTTTGATACATATGAACCTCGCAATGGGGGTATGGTTATAGTCGGTAACAATGCTCCATGTAAGGTCACAGGTATTGGTTCCATGAGGTTGAGGACTGTTGATGGGCGGAGGTTAACTTTGACTAATGTACGGCATGTTCCTGCTTTAGGAAAGAATCTGATTTCATTGGGTACCCTGGATGACTTGGGGTACAATGGTGTGTTTTCAGATGGGGAGTTGTGTATTTTCAGAGGTTCTGAGTTGGTACTTAAGGGTATCAAAAGGAACACCCTCTATGTTTTTGAGGGTGTTACACTGCCTAGTTCTGCGGTTTGCGCATCTGTATCTCACCAGGAGATGACTAAGATTTGGCACATGAGGCTTGGTCATATGGGGGAGAAGGGGATGCAGCTATTGTCCAAGAGGGGTCTTCTATCCGGGGTCAAGGTTGCCAACCTTGAATTTTGTGAGCATTGTGTGTTTGGTAAGAAACACAGGTCAAAGTTCAGCAAGGGTGCTCACATTACTGATGCAGTGCTCGATTACATCCATTCAGATTGCTGGGGTCCATCTAGAGTTGAAGGTATGGGAGGTTACCACTATTTTGTGTCATTTGTTGATGACAAGTCCCGATACACATGGCTTAGGTTGCTTAAGTCAAAGGATGAGGCCTTCAAAGTTTTCAAGCAATGGAAAGCTTTGGTGGAAAATCGACAAGGAAGGAAGATCAAGAAGCTACGAACGGACAATGGGCTAGAGTTTTGCAAAGACGAGTTTAATCAGTTTTGTGCAGATGAGGGTATAGGTCGGCATCATACTGTCAGGAAGACACCACAGCAGAACGGTGTAGCAGAACGGGTTAATCAGACACTGCTAGAGAGAGTTCGATGCATGCTCTCTAATGCAGGGCTTGGGAGGAGGTACTGGAGTGAAGCTGTGTTAACAGCTTGTTATGTCATTAATAGGGGTCCTCATTCTGGAATTGATTCCAAAATTCCGTTTGAGATCTGGAGTGGTAAGTTGCCTAATTTTTCGAATTTGAAGATTTTTGGTTGTGTTGCTTATTATCATGTTATTGAGGGTAAGCTGGATCCACGAGCCAAGAAGGGGTGTTTTGTTGGGTACGGGGATGGTGTGAAGGGGTTTAGAATTTTTTCACCTTCGGAGGGTCGGGTCATTCTTAGTAGGGATGTTACTTTCGATGAAAACACCATGTATTCAATTAAAAATGCAGAGATTTCAGATTTGAGAAGGGAAGGAGACAATTTATTACAGACAGATGGGGTACTTGAGGTACATCAGTCTACCATTGCTGATTTACCTCGGGTACAATATATTGATGATGATGCTGATGTTCCAGTGCCGGGTACTCCTGAACCTGAGATTACTCCTACTCATTCTAACTCTGGGGATGAGGTGGAGCAATCTAATCAGGGGTCATCTAGTCAACCTGACACCATTCTTGAGATGCCTAAACGAGTTATCAAGAAGCCTGTTAGATTGATTGAAGAGATGGAGGGAAGAAATTGCTGTGTTGATGCGATGACAGGTTATGCATTGAGTGTAGCTGATGATGTAGAGTCATTTGAACCTGCCACATATAAACAAGCAATTAGTTGTAGTGAGTCTGCGCAATGGCTTGCCGCAATGGGTGAAGAGATGCAGTCTCTTTACAAGAACAGAGTGTGGGAACTGGTAAAGGTACCGGAAGGGAGGAAGCTTGTGGGTTGTAAATGGATTTACAAGAAGAAAGAAGGGTTGTCGGAAACTGAGCAAATACGTTTTAAGGCTAGGCTAGTTGCTAAGGGGTTCAGTCAGGTAGAAGGGGTTGATTTTGTTGAGATATTCTCACCTGTGGTTCGACATACTTCTATCCGTGTGTTATTGTCAATTGTAGCACATTTTGATCTTGAGCTGGAGCAGTTGGATGTTAAAACGGCTTTCCTTCATGGCGATTTGGAGGAGGAGATTCTGATGAAGCAGCCCGAAGGATTCGAAGTTCCTGGAAAGGAACACTATGCCTGCAGATTGCTAAAGTCATTGTATGGACTTAAGCAATCCCCCCGACAGTGGTACAAAAGGTTTGATTCTTTTATGGTTTCACAAGGTTTTGACAGGAATTCATATGATTGCTGTGTGTATCATAGTAAGCTGGATAATGGTTCCATGATTTATCTTTTGTTATATGTTGATGACATGTTGGTTGCCACAAAGAATAAATCTGATATTGCTAGATTAAAGGAGATGCTTAACTCGGAGTTTGACATGAAAGACTTGGGTGCAGCTAGGAAGATTTTGGGTATGGAGATCTACAGGGATCGGGCTAGAGGTAAGCTTTTCTTGACTCAGAAAAGCTACATTGAAAAGATTTTGTCTCGTTTTGGGATGGAAAAATCGAAGCCTATAAGTACGCCAACTACTGTTAGTTGTAAGTTGTCTTTGTCTATGTCACCTCAATCAGAGGAGGAGTTGTCTTATATGTCTAGAGTTCCATATGCAAACGCGGTTGGTTGTTTGATGTATGCTATGGTCTGTACTAGGCCGGATATTGCGCATGCTGTTAGTGTTGTAAGCAGGTTTATGGCTCGACCTGGGAGGGAACACTGGCAAGGGGTGAAAAGGATTTTTCGCTACCTGAGAGGGACAACTGATATTGGTCTTGTGTACGGGAATGGTAGGGAATGCTTGGTCACTGGGTACAGTGATTCTGATTATGCAGCTGATGTGGATACCAGGAGGTCTGTGACTGGTTATGTGTTCACTTTGGGTGGTTCTGTGGTTAGTTGGAAGTCTACATTGCAGTCATCAGTTACGTTGTCAACTACTGAAGCTGAGTATATGGCTTTAACTTCTGCAGCTAAGGAGTCTATTTGGCTCAAAGGCCTAGTAGGTGAACTGGGTATTGCACAGGATTTTGCTACAGTGTATTGTGATAGTCTAAGTGCGATTTGCTTAGCTAAAGATCAAGTACACCATGATCGGACGAAGCACATTGATGTCAGGTATCATTTCTTGCGTACTGACAAGAGGATTAAGGTGAAGAAGATTGGGACTGCTGACAACCCGGCTGATTTCTTCACTAAGCCTGTTCCGTTTAGCAAGTTTAAACATTGCTTAGACTTGCTAAATATTGATTACTACGTGATGTAGTAGGCCCTGAGGGGCGAAGTTGGGGAGCTCCTGGTGTAGGTGTGTTGGCCTTAAGGTGGAGCTTGCCCGGGGCTTGTGATGCAGGTGGAGCATTATGAGTTGTTATACTTGGAGACGAGTATGTGATGGGTCTTGGTTGAAGACTTATCGGGATGTATGGCTTATGCATGAGTCTTGCATCGGGTTTGGCTTGAGATGTTTTTCCACTATGTCTTGATGGGGTCGTTTGCTGACTACGAGTTCTCGTCAAGGTGGAGATTGTTGATAAGTATTAGGTGACTCGTACTTCGTAGCTTTGTCCGCCCGATCGGGCGGACATTGCCCGGTCTGACCGGGCGGTGGGGGTTGGATACGTTGAAGCATTCGTATGGAGTTTTCTTCTCGCGCCCGATCGGGCAGACCTTGCCCGGTCTGACCGGGCGGAGAAGGAAAAATGCGGAGACGCGGATTTTACGATTTAAAGTTATCTTTTATGTTATCTTTTTGCCCAAGTATCTTTTATTTTAGGGATTAATATAAAACCTCCCTAATATTAGTATAAGGGTTAAGAGAGAGAGAGTGAGAGCCGTTCTTGAGAAATACAAGAATCATCTTTGTAATCTTTGCAGTTTATAGTGAAATCATTCGATCTCGGTGCCCGTGGACGTAGCTATCACATCGATAGTGAACCACGTAAATTCTTGGTGTTGTTCTTATTGTTTGCATTGAATTTCTTTATTGTTTTCTTGTTTGTTTTCGACCTTTGCTTCCGCTGTCGCACAACAGTCAATTTGACCATGGATATACTCAAGTTTTTTAACTTCACAACATTTGATTCATGCTACTTGATCTTTTCTTTCTTTGAGTTTCTTAAGAGCATTGTTATTCATGGACTATTAGTAGTTCATGACATGAGATTACGAAAAAACACAAGTTCATGGATCTCATCCATGAAAAGATATTTTGTATGGCATGACAGAGTCAAAAATATGATTTGTATGAAATAACTCATGCCTAGGGTCATGTGTATGTGGGATTGTCATCAACCAACCCAAGCACGGCACATAGCATTAGATATTAGCCCATTACACTATTATTTTAGGGGTTTTTTTTGTCCAAAAACAAATAAATAAAGAAAAAAATTACCAATAGTCATAAATTTTTGAGGCTTCAAATAAATACCCATATCGGTATATTTGGGAAAAATATGTTAAGAATTTGAGTGAAAATGGAATGAGGGTAATTGTCTAATTGGGAAAGAGTAGGAAGGACAGTGATGACAAAAAATCTATGTCACAAATAAGGGTGAATTTAGGTGGGAAAAAAATTTGCCACGGCAAGAATGATGTGGAGGATTGAGAAAGGGGTATAAAGAGAGCCATGAACAATTTTTTTAGGTTAATGGTTGTGCATACTCTAAGTGAGATGTTTAGGATAGTTTAATCAAATAATATGGCAATTGAGTATTTATATGGACTAACTTAACCCAAAATGTATGCAATGTAAATTCTATAGATCCTAATTTAGGTGCAAAGAACTATTCGTCATATCCAGCATCCTGAATCCTGATCCAGATCAATTCAAATCATTACTGAAGCATACCTGCATACCCATATGAGAGCAGTGGAACATTTAAGGTAATTATCCATCAAAAAACCTGTTCAACCTAATAAACTTATTTTAGGAAAAACAATTGCAAAAAAGGGCTGATAAGTTTCAAAAAGTTCGCATACGTTCCAAACTTCCAATAAAGGCTACCCAAGCACATTTCACAACTACAATGTATTCAGATAAGTTCTTATAAGTGGATTTCAGGAGAAAATAACACACTAGACCTCATAACAAGCATATCCTCTTTCCTAATGTACTGCCTATCATATGAACATAAATCTTATTGTTCACGTCCATAATCAACCTCTAAAATTTAGGATGCATCCAAGGTTCCACCTTACCCTCATGCTTTACCATTGAGTTGCTTAAATTGTATCCTTAACATTTCTGTCCTAAGTCCCTCTTTTCTCAGCAATGTTACATCTAGACGCCAACAAGGTAAAAAATCCAATAGATACCAGACCATAAAAAAAATTCAAACTTTCCACAATCACTTCGAACCTAATGTACCATCCCCAACCCATCAATCAAAAACTCCATAAGACATGAGACTTCCCTACAACAACCAAGCAAGAAAAAGGCCAACAGAGTGCCAAGACAGATTTCTTACATATGAATTATGAACATGTTGATCACAACAAACTAGCATGTGTAGTCCAAGATCATAAACGTAAGTATGAGAAATAAGAAGAAAATAAATTAAAAGTACCTTCAAACCTTTCAAGGGCCTGCAATGACTTTGCTTTGAGAAAAATTGCTTCAATAAGGATACTAACAGCATGCATTGACATGGGCAGCACTACATCACTCTGTGAATCCCGTTTTTGCAGATCACATCTCCCGGCTAATGAAACTTTGATATTAGGCATAACTGCATCAATGTCAATACCTTCAAAAACGCGAAGTGCTGCTGCTATGTTTCCCTTCTGGTACTCAAGCCTTCCTAACAAAGCTCTGGCTTCCTGTACATTGTAGCAGCACTCATGAGACCTTGCAGCAATTTTGTTTTCCAAGTTTAATAAAAGCCCAATGTAGAAAATTAGTATTTCAATGAGGTATTTAAAGATAGTAGAAAATTTCTGATTTTTTTTACAAAAAAAAACTCTGTAATTCAGCTCCAATCTTGAGATGGTGTGCATAAAGATGATTTTCTTTCCTTCCTTCCAAGATTTAGTTTACTCTCTTTCTTTTTTTAATAGAAATGAATAGAACTATTTCGAAAAAAAAAAATGTGGGAAGGAAGGAAAGTGATCTAATTCTGCAACCAACAAGTACCAACCAGGTCTCAAGTTGGTCGCTACAGCAACCCAACCAGAACTCGGTCGATATATGGAAATTTCTTCTATTAATACAATGAGGATTTCTTTCTATTAATACACACTTCCTTGAAAGCTTTTTCGGAAAAATATGATTATACCATAAGTCAAAGTGTTATTGTCGTAATAACTCCAGATGGAGGACTGCTGCTTTTGTGCCATTGCGCAAGGAGGGGCATAGAGGAAAAACGGTTCAGGTAACTTTAACATATGATGGGTGTGTGCAATAAGATAGCCCAAGTCCACCCATATACCACTAACTCGCTAAGAATCACCCCATGTTAGTCCGATTATATACCACTAAGCATCACCCCATTGTTCATATTGCATAAAAAATGAAGTCTCACCATCCATCATTTATAAGACTTGTTCTCATGGAAAAACTACAACACCATGGTCACAAGTTGCAACAATTCACTATTTTCACCCAGATGTGGGTCAATTGATAGTTCCTGCTTCACAGTATTTAATCAACAATAAAGACTCGATGATTAGAATAATTCAGATTTATTAGTCCTTCAAAACGGAAACCATTGACTTTAATGTTTCTTGATTTTCACTATTCAAGACTTATGCTCTAAAAAAAGAAGCATTATGGTTGTCAATTAATCTGCTTTCCCTCCGCAAAAAGAAATGGAGAGAAGAAGTGAAAAAAAATATCCTAGCAACTGGATTTGGCTGCAGTTGGGTGCATGGGAAACACCATATAAGCAACCCGATATGCCATCACGAGGAGCTTAGGAGTAGGGGAACAGAAAGATTAGGATATCCAAGAATAAATGGTGATTATGTAGCCTTTACCTTTTTTTTCCAATAACAAGAGCATCCTACCTCCAATACATTCTAACAAATGGCTTTTATGGCATTTCTCACTCTAAGCTTACATCGAAAAAGCAATGTATCTAAAAATGTAATCTCTTGTTTCCAATAGCTACATATACATCTTGTTCATACGGCTTTACAATCTTTAAATGGCTTCTTTTTTTTTTCTTTTTTTTTTTTTTTTTTAACTCACTTACAGACCCTCTCAAAGATCTCCAAGACTGTCATCAAATTAAGATTCTCTGATTGATGTAGAATCTTTTAGATTCATTACTGCTGCAGCCAAAGTTAACTATATAGCACTAAACTGAATTTCAGTCCCTAATTATCTCGAGAGTCCCTATTTATCAAGGCTGATTCATTAGTATCATTATGCATAATTTATCTAAATTCTATTTCAACCAAACTTAAAAAAATCATTCAAGTAGCAACAATTATACAAGCATCGGAGCATTAACAGAACTTCCCACCCAATCTAACGATCACAGATAACACTCTAGAAATGAAATACCTAAACTAGTAAATTACATATTTTCAACATAAGCATGCCAAACAGTCATCTGCATATTAGATAAAGTGTTCCTAAGACTTTAACCATAGGTACTTTCAGCACTGGCAAGAGCACACAATTCTGTCATAAATTGCGAAGTGCTGCATTCTGACATGTGAAAGAACTCGTATGACATGAAACTTTACGCAAGAGCTCAGTAGCCAACCACGAAACAAGGGGATTTTCTATAATTTTGAAGATAACTTACAGCAAAGTAAGCTAAACTCTTTACATTAAAGTAAGCTGAAGTTTGAAAGAACGGGCAGAAAAGGACTCCCTTTATAGCAATAGGCTACGGCCACATTGTAAGCAATTAACTATATTTACTTTTATTACTCCTAGAGCGAGGGGCAAGGAGAGGAGCAGGAGTCAAGTTACCAATGGGTTGAATTTTTACTTGTAAGCCTCAACACGTAATGCAAGAATAAAGATATTCCAAGGACTAAAAACAGCAAATTAATTGGACTCATTTCAAGAACGTACTGCTTCTTCAACCAATTTATTCTTACTCTTTATGAACATTTCTAGCTTAGATTCAGGTTGAGAAGTTTCATACTTAATTAGCATTCCAAAAAACGGTCTTTTGTGTTATAAAAGCTGAGATTACATATGTTTGGACAGCCAGCCTAATTATTATTCATCAAACAATAAGTGATATTAAAAGTTCTTCGAAAGATACAATTTGACCTTTTACGTGGTTATAAAGGTCTACCTTCTTCCTTGATCTTTCTCTTTAAGAACTACAATGCTATATCACTTGTGTAGAATTATCCACATATGCAAGATTAGTTTCATATAGAAATTAGAGACTCTGACCTTCTTATTCACAGTTGCATGCATAATAAGTTTAGATGAAACCATACAGACTACAACACCATCAGGTCAAATGACTCCAGTAAAAAAGAAGAGTGATATAATAACTAATTAATCATACCATAATCATAATCTAACTTTAAAGAGTGAGTTTTTAGCAAATCAGGAAACAGAGAAACCATATCAAAATCTAGAAAACTTGAACTTAAATAATTAGCTTAACTGAACAAAAACGGATAATGTATCAAATACAGTTTAGCAATGCATAAGCTGAATCAGGTATAATCTATCAATTAAAACCTCTTAGATTCCATCATTCTCCCAAAATAATTACGAAATAATTAAATAAATCATCAATTAAAACCTAATTCAATAGACTCTGACCTTCTTATTCACAGTTGCATGCATAATAAGTTTAGATGAAACCATACAGGCTACAACACCATCAGGTCAAATGACTCCAGTAAAAAAGAAGAGTGATATAATAACTAATTAATCATACCATAATCATAATCTAACTTTAAAGAGTGAGTTTTTAGCAAATCAGGAAACAGAGAAACCATATCAAAATTTAGAAAACTTGAACTTAAATAATTAGCTTAACTGAACAAAAACGGATAATGTATCAAATACAGTTTAGCAATGCATAAGCTGAATTAGGTATAATCTATCAATTAAAACCTCTTAGATTCCATCATTCCCCCAAAATAATTACAAATAAATGATTTGATACTTAGAAGAGCATTGATAAACTACCTCATAGTTCAAGTAACCACTTGCACGAAGAGATAATTCAGCTTCTTCAATAGTGCTCATGTTCGTCTTTGGGACAACCTCCCCAGCTTGACCTGAAAAACCACCACTGGCTGAATAATCCCTGGTAGCTAAGGAAGAATCTGATGATTCAGCTGCTTCATCTTCCCTAACTTGCTTCCCTAAGAAAATGCACTTCATCATCTTCTTCAATCCGCCTTTACCACCGTTACTCCGACTCTTCCTCGAAGGTTTGGCTTTCATATTACACACAAATATTTCTTTTCCACCCCGAATACACAAAAGATGTCAGATGAAAATATTTAATGATGCTGATAAGTTACCTCTCCTATAAATATACAGAACATAAAGAATTTCTGCAAACTTTGACCATCTACATTGAGATTTTACTAACCTCATAACAGAAAGGCAAACTTATACATAGATGTTAAAATTTCAGCCATCATAAACAATAAAAAATCTGGAGAAAATTACAAAACTGCAAATTTCCACATTTTCCAAGAAATGAACAAAAATTCTTTACATTACATTTTTAATTCCAAAAATCTTAATCTTATATCATAAACCTTGAAAATTGAGCACATTCAAACAAGCTTCAAATTAATCAGAAATCAATCAAATCCAAACCCTAGAAACCCAAGTTCTCCTCCAATTATTAAATTAATAAAAATACAATAATAAATAAAAAATGAATAAAATAAAAACCCACCAAACTGAAAACTCAATTAGCACAAATTAATCACAATGAAAGCAGAATTAAGCTTCAATCACCAACAAAAAGTCCCTTAAACTAAAAACCCAGCATCAAAAACTCAATTAGCACTCATTAATCACAGTAAAATCACATAATTAAGATATCAATTAGCAGGAAAAAGCCCCTAAATACAGTACTAAACAACAATAAAACGCTACATTAAAGCAAACAGTGAACTGTAAAAAGTAGGAATCAAAGTCATAATCATAGGAATAAAAAAGAAAAAAGAAAAGAGAAAAGTATACCTGCTGTTGATTGAGAAAAAGCAAAAAATTGTTAGACCCAGAAAACATTTTAATCTTCTGCAGTATATAAAGCCTCCGAAATGCTAGAATTGGCCTATAATCCACAGACCCACCAACCAAATTGCCTCTTTTCATATTACACCTTTATTATACATGTATAATATATGGTATGAAATCACAATTTAGCAAAAAGAAATCTCTAAAATAGCTAACAAATCAAACTTAGGTATATATTAGAGCAAATAAGATGTTGGATAATGAAAATATATTCTAAAATTATTAATAAAAGTTAAATTAATTTCTGGGTTTCTAAGCATGAGACTGTCAATTGTGAGAGTGTTTTTCATAAATATTTTTATTACAATAATTTTAAGAAGAAGAAGAATGTCCTGAGTCCTGACTCCTGTATTTTTGGGGGTCCACTTTAGTCAAATATGAGTTCTTGGAATTTTATACATGGGTCAACTACGTGCTAATTGACAATGATTTGTTTAATTTTTCGAGTTTCATAATCATTTTTAGTACTTAATTTAATTATGAAAATGATTATCCAATGTGAGATGGGCTTGGAACTTGGGCACTTGGTATTTTGGCAATTGTTGTTATGCGTAGTCTTTTTTGTACAAACAACATTTTTTATGTTGTGAGGCACTTGAAAAAAAAAGTGATGCACTTGAGAAAAAGACATAAATTGTACTTGTAGCAAATGATATATTTTTTGCGAAAATTATAGATGATTTATACAGTGTACTATTACCCTACTTTAACTCTTAGTTAAATATTAATTATTATAGTATGACTTTAAAGTGCCTGTCGAATATGGTTTACTGAAACAAACACTTGTTAGTGTTATGTAATAAAATCTTAATCTTGAAAATAAAACATATGGACTTACGAAGTGTATAACTAGAAATCTAATCAAATAAGAATGTAGAAGGTTTTTCCTCTCCTTTGTTTGAGTTTAATTATGATGATATGATTAATAAAGTAATTTATATATTGAGTTCGTGCTCGTCGCCGTGTGCAATAGGCTGTAAACATATTGGCAACTCTTGTAGCGAGATAAAATTAAATTATACAAGTAGTTGTTTAAAGTGGAGATGAAATACCACAATTAGTTTAGAACATGTTTGTACTTTGTACGAACTCTTTTTTCAGAACGTATACATACCTATTAGAACTTAATTACACATTCATGTATACAAATGGACTTAAACAATTAGAATAGTAGTAGAAGTGTAATAAGTATTGCACAAGCATGGGGCAATAATTTGCACACAAAAAGTCCAAGTAGTATTCACATCAAAAGAAGTAAATAAGAAGTTGGTGAAATCATTAGTACATGTACATGAATTGTACATACATGCATTAATTATATTTATTCATCTTCCTTGGCAATGTGAAGTCATGGATATTGACATACTATGCTTCTTCACTCTGTTTTTGTCACTTTCTTCATATTTTTTTTGTTTTGTTATGATGTGTTTATCTATACAACTTCATATAAAACCCTTATTCTCTTACAACCACAAGCTAGCAAACTAACACAAATCGACAAATGTTACATTTTTCAAGTTGTTTGGATCTTCATCGTTTTTTCTCCTTTGTAATCCTAGTTGGACAAATTTAAATAGTACGGATTGGTACGACAAAAGTAGTATACTACAAAGTAATTTCACTTTGAGGTAGCAAAGGAGTTGTTTAAATTGGAGTAGAATAATTTGTTTTTATATTGAAAAGATATTGTAGTACAATAATATTCTATTATGTTATCTATTTGATGCATTAATCAAACTCAAGAGATATATATCATTATAAAGAAAATGTATTCCTACTTTTATTAAGGGTTGAGAAGAAATATCACTAGTCATAAATCTGCAATCATGATATGAGCAATGTCAGATTAATTGTAAATAATGACTTAATATTAATGATGATTTTCTTTGTCTTCAAAAGAAACATACTCCGTATTTTATCTAGATTAAGATTTATATATTGTTATTAATTTATTATCCATGAAGACGAGATAAAAATTTCACATTAACTATTAAAATGGATATGATGTTGGTGTCTCAATAAGATGGGGTTATTATATTACTTCGTACTTTCGTAGTTATTGAGTGTGTATGTCCTCGGCCTTTTTAATTACCCGTTTTTCCAAAAAAAAAAAAAGTGAGAAATGAATTATTATTGTGGATTTGATGATAAATAATGTTAGTTTGGATATTTAAAGGATCAAACCTTTTTTTTTTTTTAAATAGAAAGGATCAAACTTAATTACAACAAAGAAAATATAAAAACGGTGTTTTGGCATCCTACGAGTACAGATGAATATGGAAATTAAAAATTAGAGGGAATATGCAAGTATCTTATAAATGTAAAACATTTTTATATAAAGCTTAAAAGCTATTCCGTTCCTTCTCACGTAGTCGCACACGAGTAATAGCTGATTAGCTGGTAAGCTATTAATGGAAATTATGTTAAAACTTGAAAAGCTTTTAATAATCGATATATAGAGAACACATTAATTACTTAGCATTTAAAAATTTGGGGCCAACAAGGGCAACAACTTAAATATAAAATTGACAACTAGTTCACTGATTATTTAATCAATACAACAGTACATTGAATCCATTATGATCAGCAGTACAATTGTAGCAGCTACTGGAGTATAATTAAAAAGAAATTAAGCAAGTTTATCTAGAAACTATAGAATGAGTTACACCAAATAATTCAACAAACCATGCTTATAGATAATGATAAATAAGAAATACAAGTATATCTTTTACTTAGGCTCTTAATTGGCAACAATACCAATTCAGCTCCATGCATGAAATTCTCTCTCGTGTAGCATGTGCTTGATTAGAAAATGAAGTCTCTACCTTAGTAGTGTCCTCCAATCCCGCCGCCGCCACCTCCACCACCTCCAAATCCACCACCACCACCAAAGCCGCCACCAGAGCCTATTCCTCCTCCAAATCCGCCACCTTTACCGAATCCTCCTCCAATGCCACCACCTTTACCGAATCCTCCTCCAATGCCACCGCCTTTACCGAACCCTCCTCCAATGCCACCACCTTTACCAAATCCTCCTCCAATACCACCACCTTTACCGAATCCACCTCCGACTCCGCCCCCTAATCCTCCACCTTTCCCAATTCCACCGCCAATACCGCCACCCTTTCCGAACCCACCTCCGCCTCCAATTCCTCCACCTTTTCCAATGCCGCCACCTAAACCACCACCCTTTCCAAAGCCACCTCCACCTCCAATTCCTCCACCCTTTCCAATGCCACCTCCAATTCCACCTCCCTTACCAAAACCTCCTCCACCTCCTAGCCCTCCTCCTTTGCCAATTCCACCACCTAATCCACCACCCTTTCCATATCCACCACCAATACCTCCTCCTTTGCCAATTCCACCACCTAATCCACCACCCTTTCCATATCCACCACCAATACCTCCTCCTTTGCCAATTCCACCACCTAGTCCACCACCCTTTCCATATCCACCTCCAATACCTCCTCCTTTACCAATTCCACCACCAATGCCCCCACCCTTTCCATATCCACCACCAACTCCGCCACCAATTCCATGGCCACCACCAACTCCACCACCCTTTCCATATCCACCACCAACCCCGCCACCAACTCCATGGCCACCACCAACTCCACCACCTAGTCCTCCACCCTTTCCATATCCACCACCAACCCCACCACCTAGTCCATGGCCACCACCTAGTCCTCCACCCTTTCCATATCCACCACCAACCCCGCCACCAACTCCATGGCCGCCACCAACTCCACCACCTAATCCCCCACCCTTACCGATTCCACCACCAATGCCGCCACCTTTACCGATTCCACCACCAATTCCATGGCCACCTCCAATGCCGCCACCAACTCCGTGTCCACCACCAATGCCGCCACCAACTCCGTGGCCACCTCCTAAACCTCCTCCACCACCACCTCCTAATCCACCACCGCCGCCGCCACCTAGTCCACCACCACCACCGGCACCTCCACCAAATCCTCCTCCACCGCCATATCCTCCGCCACCTCCAAATCCACCACCTCCTCCACCGCCTCCACCTCCACCGCCGCCTCCGCCGCCAAACCCTCCTCCAAATCCACCCCCTTTACCAAAAAGAAACTTCTCATCTTCATCCTTCGTTGCTTCCAAACTTCTTCCACTCACACTCGATACAAAAACATGAAAGCAAACTAAAAACAACAAAGAAAGTCTCTTAGTCCCTCCCTTCATATTGGAGCTGAGATAGAAAAAATGTATCACAAATAATTAAGGAGGAGGAATTTGTTTGGTTTTATGTTGAGCAAAACATACAAACTTTGAGGAACTTTATATAGAGTTTGTAATTGGCTAATATCATTACAAGTGCATTAAATTCTATCAACAACCAACTGTTGTACGTGGTATGGTTGATATTATTTGATAATTTTACTTTATTTCTAAATTATATTATCACCGATTTTATTCATTATCGTGCATTTATTACTTTGAAGGAACGACTTTTTTTTTTATATACTACTACTTTTAGCACGGAATTGAAAATTACAGCTACTTGTACTGTTGCATTGTTACTGATTTTGATTGCTAACCAATTAACACCCCCTTTGTTGCATACTACGATGCATGAAATTTGTGAAAATTCACTACAACTAGTTTCTGTATATCTCCTTTTAGTTTAGGCGATTTCTTTTTGGTCAATCCTTATTATGTACCAACATGATGTTAATAATATATTAGACCGCGTCTTATCATAAAAAAATTTAATGCACCACACACCAAGACGCTAATATTGGTATATCATGAATGGTGTTTCTATCAAAGAACAATGCAATATAATTATCAATAGGCTTATATTCAATAAGTATATGTAACAATTCATTGATATATCATTATATACGAAGTATACATAACTATTCAAGATACATCATGGAGATCGTTCTATTTAATCGATATAAGATTATTTCTTTTTTCCTATAAAATCTTGATCCTAATCTTGATTCCCATAATTAATTAAAAACTTGAAATATATAGTTTCTTAAACGTACTTAATGGTTAGTTGATGACAGGGTAATTAATGCCCTGCTTATAAGCTAATTAGCATGCATGTACGAGCTGAGCAGTGGATTTTTAAGTACACTACACCTAACCATATTAGATACCATAGGTTTTACATTCTCTTACAAAAAGTACTAAAACTAAATAAAAGAGCTAGAAGAAAATTAAGAGCCTGTAAATTCGTTATATATAACTTCAAATAGGAAGAAAAAAAGTTACAGTACTTGTATAAAGAGTAATTACATAAATGGATTTTTACATTCTCTTACAAAAAGTACGAATAGAAAAGAGAGCCTGTAAATTCGTTATATATAACTTCTAGTAGGACGGATAAAAAAATAAAAATTACAGTACTTGTAAACAAAGTAATTACATAAAACAAATTACTGAAATTAGTCATTATTTTTCAACTAAATATGAAACCAATTCTGGAATATGTACTAAATATTATACGAGTACTAAATTATACAGAGTGCTTCATATCATTAATTATTTACGAGTAATTATCTAAGATATGTTGATTAGAATTTATATAAGTAATACTCCGTGTGTGTATATATATATATATATATAAACTTTGAATTAATGCTCTTATTTAGTTACAAGGAATGACAAAAAATGGATTTCAAAAAGTTTAATTGAATTGGGATGTCTTAATCAAATTACTACTTGTAGAAGCAGGAAACAACAGTGATGTTAAAGCTAATTACCCTAATTGTCCGTTAATTATTAAAAGGTGTTTGTGCACTCCAGCTAATCAGGAAATGCTCAACTTTTCCTCTAAATGTTATTACTTCATCTACCAATGGATTAAAGAATATCAATAATTTTAATAAAATTATCAATATATTTAATCCGTATACTACTAATAAATAGTGAACTATTATAAATCATGGCATCGCCCAGATAAAAAACTACAAGTAGTTTAATTTATGGGCTACAATTAGATTTTTGTTTTTCTAATATATATATATATATATATATATTCAACTTTTTAGTTAAGAATCAGGTGATGCTTAGGTACAGTAGAAAAAAGAATGGAGCAAGTGGTGTTTGTGTGAAAATTGCATGTTGTAATAACTTTATTTACTCGATTGAAAAGAAGAAGTTTTAATAATAAGGAAATTCTAAGTATTTTGGTAAATTTTTAGTCGCTTCCTTTACTTTTCTATCCATAACAATTCATGATACATATTATATACGTAATTATTAAACCGAGTATATTAAAAGTTTGTTTGTTTTTTCTTGGATTTCAATTGATTAGTTCAATTCCTTTCAAACAAGCTGTGAGAACCTTCACCGTGACATTGTTCCATGTAGTTCGTTCCATCAAGTCAACACGTAAGAGTCCAAGGTTTGCCTAAATTCGGATTGCTAAATGTTGTATGCTTTAATTTATTACTGAGAATGATAGGAGGATTTGCCAACCCTAGATGACTGACTCATGGGCAGCTCACACCAATATTATCAACTCTATTTTTGAAGAGGATAAGTGTCTTACTTCTCTCAAAGAACTTCTAGGAATAGCTAGTACAATGATGAGGTTTTATATCGAGGTGAATTTCTATAAGATGTATGTATATAACGCGTCAAAAGTCAAATATTGGTCCCAAAAATGTTTATTAATAGGTTGACTTTATCTTAAACGCGAAAAACAAATTAATTTTTATACAAAAATGTTTGCATGCATCATGTTAGTGTCGCAATCTTAATCTTCTTTTAACAATTAAGAAGGGGTTTATCTTGAAAGTTGGATACATGTAATGATGTAAATGAAATATACTTTTTCTGTTCTTTTTTACTTGATCAATTTTTTTTTTATCACGTTTGTCGATGCACAACTTTAACCATCAATAACTTTAATTTTGTATAAGTAAAAATTATAAAAGTTTTATATTGTGGTAGTGCTTATTTAGACGAATCTAACAAGATCCAACATGAACATGTTTTTCCTTACATATAATTCACAAAAGACAGTCAAAGATGGGTTGATGAATAGTGTAAAAGTCAAAGTAGGTCAAGTAAAAAAGAACGGAGGAAGTAATAATTAAGGCTTTTATTTGGTTAAAATGTAATAATTTTCTGTTATTTTCACTACATATACTTTATGTAATTTCAACCTAAGCTGCCAAAAAAGTTTAGTCACTCCACCACGACAGACATGCACATGCAAATAATACCTCATATAGCCATACCTATATTTACGAAACTTTCACTTGATGTAAAAATTATTTAAAACAAAATTCAATGTAGCTTTCAATCGAAAAGAAAACCTCGATAGAAACTCTATTACATTTACACTAGTAACTAGTAAGATATACGGTGTAAATCAAGGAAAAATCTAAGTCCAACACTCATTTATAATTTCAACTTTCGGCTGATTAAGTTTTAGATCAACCATTCATTCATATATATATTCGTACAATAATAGTAAGCTATAACTAAATTTGCTATAATGAAACAAGTATGCAGAGAAAAGTTAGTCGCTTTAATTTGCCATAAAATTGGAACCCTATGCATTATTCGTTATTGTTTTATGCTATAAAGAATTCCAATTTAAGAAGATTGAACAAGTATACTTACCATCCATGGACCAACTAGAGGTTTTTGGTTGAATAACATTGAATGCAAAAAAAGGATTATTTTCAAGATCCATATTAATTCTATATCTACCAAGCACATGAAATAGGACCCCACTTTCATATTCTCTTCATTGTTTCTACTCGTAAAGTAGTTATTAATGAATTGATCTAGTTAGCCTTATTTATAAAGTTGAACGGAACACTTTTCTCTGGTTGAATGACTGCATTTTCTGGTTCATTTATGTCTATTACAACGCGTATGTATAATGCAAACGTGAGGAGTTGAGATCCTTGAAGGTGCATGTGCTAGTGTGCTACCTCTTGTTTCATGAGTGGGTCATGGTGCAAAAAGTCTTTGCTAAATGCTCATCATCAATGATCATATTTGCTTATAATGCTCACTATCAATTTTATGTTAATTTTGTTGTATTTTCAATATATATGTGTATATGTCTATTTTAATGATAATCATTGGTTTGTATTTGTTCATATGCCTTTTAAATAGTGAACAAATTTTATTATATATTAATGTGTAGAGTTATAAAGATGTTCAGTTATGTAATGATAAATGATCATTTATGTAGATATATATGTTTTTTAATATAATAATAATATAATTGAACATTATTGATATTATATTTGTTTAATATAATTATTGCAGCCGATAGTAGAAATGCTCAAGATACTCTTATTGTTTCAAGGAATGTTCACGCTGCTTCTAGCTAGTGCTTCAACAAATGTTCAAGCTACTACAAGTGTTTCAAGAACTATTCAAGCTACTACTAGTGTTAGTTCTAAGAAGTGTTCGAGGTGGTTTAGGACATACTTCTATTAAGTATGATAAGTTCTTAGTCTTTTTTGATACAAATGTAGCTAAGAGGTTCACTAGTAATGGTAAATGAGGGAGTACATTAGGAAACCATAGCTTTTAAATTACTACTTTCATGAGACTGCATTTTATATTTTTATCATGTAATGGATCTAAGGTTGTGTTTCTATTAAGCAATGTTTTCTTTCAACCTTAATATTGTTAGTGATGTAAATTATTTGCAAATGAACATTTCATAGATACAAAACACCGAGTTGTTAAATATGTTAAAAAAAGAAATACTAGCTATTTAACATACAATATTAAAAAAAGAAATATCAAATTCTATTAAAAAAAATAGAAATACCAAATAAAGACTCTTAAGCGAGTAAAATCTATAAGTTCTATTGAACACATATAAGAACATATATCTTTGTATAAATGAACATATATAAATTTATAAATGAACATGTAATACTACTCTTTTGTAATTTTTCTTGATAATCTTTTGTTGATCCTACATTCAGTGTTTTCTTCAAAAGCATTAGTTGAGTTGTGTATTGCATCCTCAGCTTCCTGATTTGGTCTACCTGTTGATAAAAATGAATATATAATATAATATTAATTGTTATTTAATAATATATAAATGAACGATATATTTTAAGTAAATGATCATTTGATGGACTTACATTGTTTGGGTTTAAGTCACAAATCCATTTTTTTTATTTTGATCACCAGTGAATGTTTCCATGTGTTTCATAATGTAAACTTCACAATTTGTGTAATCCTCATTGCCACTTTAAATGACACATCACTACAATATAGATTATATCAATTTATATGAAGAAAAAAAAATGTTCAGTATGTATTTCATATATGTTCATATATGTATCTACAAATGAACATTATTTTTTAATATAAATGGCATATTTTTTTACAGGTAGATGCTCATATATGAATTATAAAATATGAATAACATATCCATCTCTAAATTCCATCAAATGTTTCACTTAAAATGGTATAAAACTATAATCTAGCTTTGTTTATTATGCATTTAAAAATGTTCATATATGTATGTAAAAATGCTCATAATATTTAAATATAATGAACATATTAATAAATGTAAATGCACATATATAAACTATTAAAAAAAACATTTGAATGTATTACCAAGTTTTGTATGCATGCGTTCATAATGTTTTATACAAATCAATAACACATATTTAAAAAAAAAAATCAAATTTGAATATGTTAATAAATACATATTTACATGTAATTATAGGTAAACATGTGAATATTTTCATAATATGATATGAAAATGAACATATAGTGCTTTATAATTGTTCATTTTACCTAAGCATCCGAGACACTATTTTTACATCTGCAGCCTTAACGCTTGTATATCTTTGAAAGTGTTGGATCTACAATAGGAGATTTTTGTTCGCCGGTTTTTTACATTATAAACCATTTAATAAATTTTTTTTAATAAATTCTTGTAAATTTAAGAAGTTTGAGTAGTATACTTACATTTTTGAAGAATCGTTGTTTCTGTTCTCTGAAATAGATTTCTCCAAACTGAAAAATGAAATTGAAGCAAGTAGATGTTAATTTTACTAATTATTCGAAATAATCACTTTGAAATTGATGAATTATTAACATAAATACTTACATATAGGGGTGAAAGTTCGGTATTCGGTTTGGATTACACCCCAAACCGAATCCAAACCGAATTATTTCGGTTTCGGATTTTTGAAACCGAATCCAAACCGAATTTGGATTCAATCCAATCCAATCCAAACCGAAATAATTCGGTTTTGAGAATTAAATCCAATCCAAACCGAAATAATTCGGTTTTGAGAATTAAATCCAATCCAAACCGAATTTTTATGGGCTGCTGTATTAGGCCTTAAAATCTGGGCTTTTTATTGGGCATATAATTTTGGGCCTTTTAAGGCCTAAATTTTGTACCTGTTCCTGAACAAAATTAAAGCATAAATTTTAACATACAACTTTCACAAGTCACAACCATATGCCATACTGCCATAGTAACTAAATTGTCCAGCCATACTGCCATAGACCATAGTAATTAAATACACTTACACATTGTCCACATTGAGACATAAGAACTTAACAAGTCTTAAAACTATCAAAACAGTCCACATGATGAATTGATAATAAAACAGACAAACAGTCCACAAATGAACTAGTTCAACCAACAGGGCAGCTTCATTCTTAGGCTCTTGGCAGAAACTTCAAGTCTTCAATCAATAGGGCAGCTTCATTCTTGGCAGCTAACTCTCAATCAAGCTCAACCAAGTCCGGGTTTTGACCACCAATTGTCATATTCCTCAAGTCTAATAACATTAAAAAAAATAAACAAGTTACATAATATATATGAAATAATGAAAAAAAATAACATGATAATTGTTGTTTTATGTTACCTTCTTCAAGATCTTCAACTTCTTGTAAACACTCTTCTATATTAGGAAAGGGAGAAGAACGTAGCCAATTTTGAGCACAAACAAGTCCTTCAACGACCCTTGGAGTTAAGGAGCTCCTAAATGGGTCTAGAACCCTACCACCAGTGCTGAATGCACTCTCAGAGGCTACTGTTGAGATAGAGACAGCAAGTATATCACGGGCCATTCTTCCAATTGTTGGAAACCTAGCACTATTAAACTTCCACCACCCCAAAATATCAAAATTTTCACATTCCTCCTCCGTTTCCTCTTCTAAATATTTGTCTAACTCAATTTTTGCTTCTCCATCTTTCTCACACTTATGTTTCTTATACTTACTTTTCAATACCTGAAGCTTCTTTTGTTTGGGAGAAAATTGGGAACTGTCCATACTTGAGGACACTTCCTCCCTAATCACATCACCAGAAGAACCACGATACTCCTCATACAATGCATTCAAAGACTCTTTCAAATTATTCACCAAAACAAATGCATGCTTAGAATCATAAATTTCAATTAACATCCACTCAACATAATCTAACTTATAACGAGGATCAAGCACAACAGCAATAAAAATCAGCATGTTTATTTTCTCCGGATCACCCCAATATTTGTCATATTTCTCCTTCATTTTAGTAGCCATAAGACACATCTCCACATCATCATTTGTCATCAAATCTTTCAAAAGGACAGCAACACTCACCAATTCATGGAAAAATAAATTGGAAGTCACATGCAAAGACCCAGAGACACGCAACGTAAGATCATAAAAGACTTGTAAAAATTCAGAAAACCTTCTGACTGTTTCCCAATCCTCAGAAGTAGGGCAGCCCTTCCCCTCCCTCTCATTTAACTCAATCACATAATGAGGGTCCTCCTCATAGTACCTCTCAAAAGCATACTCAAACACCAAAGCAGCATCCAACATTAAAAAGGTGGAATTCCACCTAGTAGGCACATCAAGGCACAACAACTTTTTAGAGTTGATTTTTTCTTCCACAACACATTTTTTAAACCTTACCAACCTAGAAGGGGATTGTTTGATGAATCTTACAGCTTGTCTCACACGAGTAATAGACTCATTAACAATTTTCAAGCCATCAGACACAACCAAATTCACAATATGAGCAACACAACGCATATGAAGGAACCGACCCTTAAGAACCCCAGCTTTCCAACCATTTATTTTCCTTCTCATATATCCTATTGCGGTATCATTTGAGCTAGCATTATCAACAGTTATGCAAAATACTTTCTCAAGTTCCCAATCAAGCAAACATTTCTCAATTTCTTTCCCAATTTCCTCCCCCTTATGACTTGATATAGGACAAAAATTCAGAATACGTTTTTGCAAATTCCAGTCATTATCAACAAAGTGAACAGTCAAGCACATGTAATTAATTTGCTGAATAGATGTCCATGTATCGGTTGTTAATGAAACCCTTGAGTTACAATTTTTTAATACCAATTTCAGCTTTCTTTTTTGAGTTAAAAAAGTTTCATAACAATCTTTAGCCACAGTAATTCTGGAAGGGACATGAAATCTAGGCTCCATTACATTACAAAATTTTTTAAAGCCTACTCCCTCAACAAACTTAAAAGGCAATTCATCAACTATAACCATCTCAGATAAAGCTTTTCTAATTACAGTTGGATCATATTTCACATAAGACAATCCACTAGTACAACCACTTTCAATTTTATTGCTTTTGAAAGACAACAAACTTTGTTTTGATTCTTTAGGAGTATTATAGGGGTACTTACGACATCTATTTATATGAGCCCACAATGGACTAGTGCCATTTCTCTTTGTACCACACTTGTATCTCATACCACAGTACTTGCAACGTGCTTCCATTCCAGTGTGTGTTTCTTCCTTGATAAAGTGCTCCCAAACCTCGGAACGATCCTTCATTCTCTTCCTCTTGGGTTTGGATTTTTCATTGTCAGATTCATGCTCCTCAATAGGGACATTCCCTTCAACATTATCCATATTTGTGGACATTCTGATAATCTGATTTAAAACAGAAAAAAGAACTCACTCAATAACCAACAATTTTTATGCAAATCTATGAAAAACAATCAATCTATCAAAAAGAAAACATGCAATTCGAGCATAATACTATAATAGAACAACATATATTCTGAACTCTGAAGGAATATCATCAATTCGAGCATAATACAATTCGAGCATAATAACTATTCAAAGAAAACAATCTATCACCAGTTCGAAAATAACAAAGAAAACATGCAATTCGAGCATAATACTATAATAGAACAACATATATTCTGAACTCTGAAGGAATATCATCAATTCGAGCATAATACAATTCGAGCATAATAACTATTCAAAGAAAACAATCTATCACCAGTTCGAAAATAACAAAGAAAACATGCAATTCGAGCATAATACTATAATAGAACAACATATATTCTGAACTCTGAAGGAATATCATCAATTCGAGCATAATACAATTCGAGCATAATAACTATTCAAAGAAAACAATCTATCACCAGTTCGAAAATAACAAAGAAAACATGCAATTCGAGCAGGAAAAGAGAAGTGCAAGTGAAATCTGAAATTCAAAAATAACAAAGAAAACATGCAATTCGAGCAGGAAAAGAGAAGTGCAAGTGAAATCTGAAATTCAAAATAACAAAGAAAACATGCAATTCGAGCAGGAAAAGAGAAGTGAAATATGAAATATTGAAATTAAAGCATACCGGAACACTCGAACAGGTGGTCAGCGGCGGCCGGCGTTGGAACACTCGAACGGAACACAGGTGGTGAGAGGGAGAGATGAGGGAAAATCTAGGGTTTTAGTGAGGGAAAGAGATCAGAAACGAAAGAGAAGTGAAATATGAAATATTGAAATTAAAGCATACCGCCATACCGGAACACTCGAACAGGTGGTCAGCGGCGGCCGGCGTTGGAACACTCGAACGGAACACAGCCACAGGTGGTAAGTAGGAAAGCAGGAAGTAGTGAGGTGGTGGATTGGTGGTGGTGGACGAACGGAGTGACTGAGTGAGGTGGTGAGAGGGAGAGATGAGGGAAAATCTAGGGTTTTACTTTTAGTGAGGGAAAGACCGAAAGAGATCAGAAACGGCTGAGAAATGGGCTTATAAATTTAGGGTTTGAGTATATATACGTAGGAAAATGGGCTGAGAAATGGGGCTTATACATTTCGGTTCGGTGTTCGGTTTTCGGTTTTTAAAATCCCAAAACCGAATCCAAACCGATATAATTCGGTTTTCATTTTCTCAAACCGATCCAAACCGAAAACCGAACAAAACCGAACCGAATTGCTTATTCGGTTCGGTTTGGTTCGGTTTTCGGTTTTTATCCAAACTACTTTCACCCCTACTTACATATATACATTTTCAGTTATTAAACTATCAATTTGTTTCCTGAAACACAATCACAAATAAATTCTCAAAAAATTAGTTTTTTTTTTTTAAAAAAAATAAATAAATTATATGAACATTTATACTTACTTTTTTTATTTTCGCTACTTTTTTCCGGTGAAATTTGCTTCGGTTGTTTGACTTCGTCTCTAATGTCCGCCATGGTTGAAGTTTTAAAGCTTAGATGAGAGAGATAATGGAGAGGGAAAATAAAGAGAGAACAAGATGTTTTTTTTTTTTTTGGGTATATATATTTGTGGGGTAGAGGAAGTTACTGAAATTTTTTTAGGATTTTAGGGAGTAATAGTATGCTGCATTTTGTGAGGGTATAGTACTGCAGAAACTATGAAAGTAGGTAGATGGGGGAAGGGGTGTTAAACGATGTGTTTAGAGAGGGGTGTAGGGATGATGCCTAGACTAGAGTCTAGCCCTAAATAATTACTAAGCCTAAAGTTCAACTCCATTTGAGCCCAAACCAAATCAAATTAATAAGCCCAACAAATGCAAATACAAAATTACCCCCTCTCTAAAAATCAGGAACTCCTCGTAGTTGCATAATACTGTTACACTAGTCACAAATATCGCATTTGAGGTTGCCTGGGAAGTGGGAACCCTTTAATTTCTTGCCAACAAATACAAGATTTGATTCGTTTATGATTAGTGATAAGTCATACGAAGTATATTTTATATTGTTACAACACTAGCAAGGAAAGTTTCGTCATAATCACGAACTCCATTGTTTTCGATTTCAAATTCAAGATTTTTCAAACGCCCTTGCTTGTGTTTATTTCATCCACCAACTCTTTTGCAGATTAAACTTCTGCCAAAATTTCTCCGATCCCAGTAATTTTGACCCCATTTTTAAACCCTATGCTAATGAGTTGAGTATAAATTTCGAGTTCCGAGTTTTCGTCTAATTGTATTAATATGGCTTTATAAGGAAACTAGTTTAAGTCCCGTGCAACGCACTATTTTACTTAACCTAATTATTGAATTACAATGTTAATTTAATACAGTAATAATTTGCATAAAAATTATGTTTTCAATTGCAACTAAATAACTTGAATTTGGTTTTTTTTTTTTTTTTAAAAAAAAAAAAAAAAAAAAAACCTTGAATATTATATGCCTATTGATTATTGATGTCAAAAGTTATTTATCATTGTTAAACGTTTTTAAAAAAAATGTAAGAAATTTAATAATTATAGGTTTTTATTTTATAATGAAAATTTATGTTAATTTATACCCGTGCAATGTACTTATATAATCCATTTGTACCTATTTTGTTGGCATACTGTGACTGGCACAATGTTTTATACAAATTTAATTGACTTTTTTTTTTTTTGCGATAATTAATGATCAATTTGTATTTATAGTTATTGAAGTTGTGTTATTCTTATTGTAAATAAATCAATAAACATATCTTCTATTACATATTACTAAAGGCGAAACCAAGAGGGACACTTGATGGCATTTTATTAAAAAATTTCCCTCCACTAATATTCCTCCTCCAATAATACATGCTTACAAAAATAAGGATTGTATCTAAATTATTACATTGACCTTACATAAAATATAAACTAAACTTTCTAAAATATTAAATTGTTCAAATTTATTTATTTCTTTTTTTTTAATTATTTTTTTTAATTTGGTATAGATCCATAATAGCGAATGATGAGAATTGATCCCAAGATCACTTGAAACCGAGAGGAAGCTCTAAGTAAATGAGTTAATCCTATTTTTATACGTGGTTATTTGATTTATTAATGTACTTCATACTCCGTACTCTTTAATGATTAGTGTATTGAGTCCTTTAAAAAACACTATTTTTATAATTTGATGTCAGTAAAGTTATTGAACAACCATGCATCTGTTGCATGGGTTTAACCTAGTACTAAGTTCAGTGTCAATCCTGGTTGAGCAAAAAAAAATTTCAAGCAAAATATACAAAGTTGAATGATAGTATATTCTAATTTATTACCTTATACGTAGTATATGTTTGTATTTTTTTTAGTTTTTGTTGGTTAGTTAGGACTAACTTTTGGGGAGAAAACTTAATGTATTAAAGTAGGGAATATTTTGTACTGAATTTATGACTTGAATTGCAATGTAGGTGGTATTAATACCCCTCCTTGAATGAAAAATTCAAAGGGGGGGGGGGGGGAATTTGGATTGGCTGAAATTTTGGTGTTGGAGGAAAAAATTTCGTGGGGTTTTGTATGGCAATCTCTCTGAAATTCTTAAATTTTGGGTGGGAAAAAAATTGGGGGGAAAAATTGGCCCCAAAATGTCATACTTATTAATTCAATAAAATACTTTGTAATATTTTGTTGCCTACAATATTAGTAGCTAAATATTCCAATAAAATCTTATTAATTCAACTCCAAATAAGTTTGATACATCTTCAAGGAGTCCTTCACGAGTTTGATACTGTGTACTAGACTCAACATGCACATCTTCTTCCATCATTATATGATTATCAATAATCTGCCAAAGAAATAGATAAATAATTAAGATGCAATATTTAAAAACCTTTGTCTACTTTAAAAAAAAAAATTTGAAACCAATTCTTAAGAATGTCCAACAACTACTCCCTCCATTTTTAAATACTTGCTTCATTTTTTCATGCGCGGAGTTTTAGGAGAAATTGGAGAAAGTAATAAAATATGGAGGTAGTAGGGTAGATGGAAGAATAAAAATTGTAAAAAGCAAAAGTAGTTGAGAGAATTGGAAGAGAGAGAATATGAAATTAAAAAAATATTATTTATGGTGGGCCCACTAGGTGAGAGAAATTAATTAAATATTGTAAAAGCTTTCCAAATAAGGAAATAGAGCAAGTATTTAAAAACGGCCGGAAATGAAAAGTGGAACAAGTATTTAAAAACGAAGGGAGTATATTTTAAGAGTTTGAGAATTGAAGTATCCCACGTATACAAACATAGTGCTATTAATAAATAAAAAAAATTAAAAAAAAAAAAACTTTCATTAATGATAATTTTCTTACACCTAAAAAGTAAATATGAAATTTGTTTCAATGGCAAATTTAATAATAAAGGTTAAACATCAATATGTTTTAAGTTGACATGAGAACACCTTTACTAATAGTCAGTTACAAATAAATTAAGGGCTTGATAAATAAATGAAATTAATTAATAAACAAATTTAGAGGTAGCTAATACCTGTAAAACTTTGATAATGATTATATGGATGAGTCTATGATGGTGAATAATTTTATAAATTGCATATTTTAACGAGAATAATTAGTATTTGGAGTTGGAAAGATTTAAATTAGAATATTTAGCTACTAATATTATAGGCAACAAAATATTACAAAGTATTTTATTGAATTAATAAGTTTGATATATTTAGATACTCAAAGATTACGGGCATAGAGTAGTTTGCCTTGGCAATGGCTTTTTTGCCTTGGCAATATCAGCACCCTAAAAATAATTGTATCAACTATCAACTTGGTTACAAGTTTATGGATTTCTATTTTTTATTTATTTATTTATATATTTTGGTTAGTTTAATAATAGATTTTGTAGCCTTTCCCCAATTAATTCTTGTTTGCTTTTGTTAAATTCATTTTCATTATCGATAATTGTCAATTGTGGATGCCGTATGGCTTTAATTAATGAAATTTAGTGTCCTTTAGGACTTCTTTAAAAAAAATAAATAGATTTTGATATGTTATGTTTCAATAAAATTTGATTTACTTTCTCTCTGTAGCCATTGTGAGTAGTTTGTAAAAAAGTGCATGAGTGAGGGGAAATAAAGCAAGAGAATGAGTGAGGGCTAATAAAGCAAGAGAATTAGAGTTGAAAAAAATGTGGTTAAGTGTTAAAAAAAAGGTGTTGAATGAGAGTGAGGGATAGCTCAGGTGGTTAGAGCACTCCTCTCTCGATTCCAGGTGATCCTGAGATCGATTCTCACGCCCTTGTGGCTCTCTAAACACCAAAAAAAAGGGTGTTGAATAATGTAAAATAGAGTGAGTGATATAATGTCAAAGTCAGTCAATCGTTTTTAAGCACTCCAAAATAGAAAGTGAATCAATTTTTTTTGGATGGAGTATAATAAGCATGTTTGTACTAGAATAGAATGAAAGTTCTTTCGGTTTAGTCTAATTGCATAACTCTATATATTCCCATTAATGAGATACAATAGCAATATCAACAAGGGGTTGTACACTGAATATGTGAAAAATAAAATATCTTAACATTGAATGTCATGTAGCCATATTGGTTGGTTGAAGTTTTGGAAAATTATTGATCAAAACTTAGGATCAAATTCTACCTAAATCTCTGCTCTTGTGGCTTAGAACAATGATTGATTTTAACAATGCTAATATTATTGGAAAAATAGAAGAATTGCACTTTCTTCCCTTAAAAATCGAAGCTTTTATTTATCCCAGAATAATCCAACATTTACCCCCTATCTTCATCTAAAGATCCATTATTTGTTGATGGCCGGTTTTTGTAAGTTATATGTCACGTGTCAGCTTTTAATAGGTCTATTATTTTTTAAATTATTAAAAAACAAAAATAATTAAAAGAAAAAAAAAAGCCCCCACCCCTAACACAACCCCTTGCCACCTACTCAAACACCTGACCACCAATCACGCCAACCACCTGACCACGAATAACGCAACAACCTGACCACCAGCCCACCGACAACACCTTCCATCTCCAACACCGCAGCAAGCAAAGCTAATTTGCCAAAAAATTAATAATAAAAAATAAAAAAAAAATTCTGAAAAACCCAACCCCACCCTCCTTCCTTGACCACCCCATCCCCACTGACCACCGAAACCCAGCAACCCCATTCCCCTCTCCACCGGAAAACCCACACCACTCCTCCCGCCGGCCAGCCGCCCCTGCACTTCAGCAACACACACGCTACCTGCAATCACCAATTCGCCACCCACAATCACAGCCCACAACACCAAACAACCACCATCACCACCAACCTAAATTGTCAGCTGCAGCACCCATCTCCACCTCATCACCAATTCGCCACTCGCAATCACC